GGGAATGGACCATGAACTGCACCCGCTCAACTTCTACTCAGGCGAGGATCTGTTCGAAGCCGTTGGTGGATACCCTCAGCGAAAACGAGGAAAGCGCAGCGCAGATGACGATGAAATATCAGAGGGACGTCGAGTACGCGCGAGAGACGAACAAGCAGAGCATCTCAGCCGTGAGAATATCGACCGCCTCAACATGGAAGTTGAACTCGGCCGTGATGCCCCTTCGAGTCTATTTGACGACCACTCGTCCCAGATGCCATGGAACATCACCGCTTCTATTCAAAGCTCTCGGCAAAGACATCGATTCGGCAGTGTCAGCGAGCTGTCTTCTCAAGGACGTAAGCCTCGAAGCCGTCTCACCAGTGCCAGTCCGCTTGCCGGGCGCAGCTATCTCGTGGGACAAGACCAACTTGATCTGGAGCTCCTGGGTGATTTCGGAGACGACCTAGACCTTACCCGGTATCTTGAAGGGGAGCTCGCGACAGACCGCGAGAATATCACCTCACTCTCCCCCAGTAAACGTTCTGCTGTCGAACGGGCTAAGTCAACTCTCGATCGGGAAAGCTTGAATTTCATAGAGTTTATGAAGACCAAGATGGGTACTGCTAACGATGGCAAAGCAGGAAATGCACAAAGCCCGAACAGCAACGCGTCTAGTCCGGTCGCAACCAGACTCGGCCCGACCACATTCGCGAGTCTTCTTCCTCCTGGGAGTACAACGCGAGCTGTCGCGACTCAGGCTTTGATGAATGTTCTCACGCTCGCTACAAAGGGTGTGTTACATGTCCACCAAGACGGGTACATCGACGACAGTACCGAGTGGGCAGTCCGCTATCGCTATGGCGAGATTTTCCTACGACTGGAGTGAGCGTGAAACGTGCATACTAGGTTTTGCGATGCGACCACGAATGACGTCGAGGAACTCGTGTGCGAATGGTTCCTATTTCAATGAGAATGAAGAGAAACGGCCATGACGATTGATCTATGAACGAACCTATTGACGCGATCTGTGCTGGCGTATTACATCACCACGGAATGCGCAGATGGAATAACATTTTTACAGTGCGATGTGCGTAAGAGCGAAGGCAATAACTGGGTATGCGAGGATATTTATTGCCCATCACATTTATACTCCCCAATCTTACCAGGAACCTGTATGTTGTAACTGAATATGTAGTTGACAGTATTGCGTATGGGATACGCCCACAGATTCAGTAACAGTAATAATACCCGATGTTTTGATCGCGAACCCTGGAAATGGAAGTATACGAAAGTACGAAAGTACGCAAGTATACGGGGACGTATACGAAGTATAAAGATCAATAATCCTCGGCTTTGCTTCTGATTGTATGAGATTCACATAGAATTTGTCTTCACCAAATCCAATCATAATAGGCTCTGATCCGAGTGTGCCTCGTTTGCCCTGAATTCTCCGACTCGGCGGTAGGCTTACATCTTACACTTCTGACATGGAGGTTTAGAATAGTTCATTGCAGATTAGCTGTCGAATAGGGATTATTCAAGGAATTGCTTTTTATTAGGCATCTATTCATAAGTATATACTAGTGTTATTTCTAGAATATCCCGACCGGTCTCATCCAGCCGATGTAAGCCGGTAAGTGATAGATAAAGTGAATGGAAAGAGGCTAATAAGTGAAACATGCACTCAATACACATTCTAATAGACTTGATAGAGTAATTAATAGACAGTATAACTACAAATGTACCATAACGACATAGATGTATAGGTAATATACCTCCAGTACAAGTACCGGTCGCACGTACCGTAAGCAGTGCTCCAAATTACGCAGGGTGCGTAACCCGCGTATTCTCCCGTCTTCGTCTTTCCATTTTCTTTTCTTCTCTCTCCCTGACCCCTCCAACTTTACAACTCATACGCGCCTTTACCCATTCAAAGTTATTCTCGCGACCTTCTTTGCTTACTATCGTGGATACTCTTCCTCTCATTACTCCCCTAATCATGGGTCGTACCGTCGACCAGGAGGTACACGCGGCGTTTGTCGAGTTTCGCGCCAAGGAAGATGACAAGGTGCGTGACTGTGTATTTCGTAATATTTCACCCACGACCTGTCCGTCACTAACATACGGAAACCCGTTTTTTAGTGTCTCTCCGTTCAGTGTATATACTGCCAACAAATTCGAGCAAAGAACACTTCGCGACAGAAACAACATCTCCTTGAATGTCCCGGTCTGCGCGGTCACCCCAACGCGCCTCAGCCTTCCCAGCCCGCCCAGGCCGCCCCTAACGGAATCGGTCCCCCCAATGGCTACCCCGGCACTCCCAATGGCCCAACCGCAACCTCGACAGGTCCAACTGGTCCTGGTACTATCCCAACTCCCAATGGCACCATCATGACCAATGGTGTCAACCCTCATGCGACTCCGTTGCAGACCCCGTTGGGGGCCCTCCAGAACCGCGCCGCAATGGCGACCCCGGTTGCGCCTACCGGAGCTCCGTCTGCACCGCCAAGCGCCGTGCCCTCGCGCCCGACTCCCAAGCCAAAGACCAAGACAGCAAGCTCGAGCTTGCCCGCGCCCCCACTAGACGATGTGCACGCAGCTTTCGTTGAATTCCGCGCAAAGGAAGAAGACAAGGTATGACGAAGGAACTGGGCGACCATAGACCTTGGAACATACAAGCTAACAGTGCGGAATAGTGCCTGTCCGTTCAATGCATTTACTGCCAGCAAGTTCGCGCGAAGAACACTAGTCGCCAGCGCCAGCATCTGCTCGAATGCCCTACCTATCTCAGCGTGATGAAGGACTCGATCCCCGCCAACAATCTGCTCCACACATTCCCCGAGGGCGATGTCGCCCGATCACTTCAGATTCCCGCGCCATCGCTGGAGCTGGATTTCCGCATGAGCATCAAAATGAACCCCAAGGTGTCTGTTGGTCCCAGCGTGTGGGGCCAACGAGAGTGGGTTTCGTTCATCGGCGGCCAATGGGCCGGTCGATGGGGTAAGGGTGTTGTTCTGGTAAGACTGAATCCCAATTTCCAATCATTACTTGTCCGGTGTCTAACCTTTTAAAAACAGCCCGGTGGTCAAGATACACAGATTGTGACCAAGGATTCCACTACCAACCTTCGTGCGAGTTATATCCTCCAGACTGTCGATGAGCCACCTGCATTTATCATCGTGCGCACAGAAGGATGGTTGACAGGCGCCAAGGATGTTCTCGAGAAGGTCATCGATGCCAACATGGCGGATGGGGTCAATCCCGGCAGCTATAAGTACCGGGTCAATTTGTCCATGGAGACGGGCGATGAACGATACACATTCTTGAACACTTTGATGTGGATCGGCAGCGGTTGCCGCAGGGGTCAGGAAGGTAGGCTTCTTCAATGCTTTCTTTTGCGATTGTCCCATACTAACTAGTCATGCAGTCATCTTCGACTCGTTCCGTGTCAACTAGGTCAATGCCCTTGTCAACCAATGATGTCCTTTCCGTTATTCAGCGATTTCGTCTTTTTTTCAACTTCAACTTTGTGATGGGAAAACGGTGTTTCTACTTTGCCATTTCTTGACACACGGCGCAACGTTTCTATGATTCGATCCTTCTCACCACGACTTTCTTCTTCCGACTCTCTTTGTTTGATTTCGAACCAAGGGTATATCCGCCACCCTGGTTTGCACATGCCCCGCAATTAAGCTGATCTTGAGCTCTGCCTTGTCTTTGCTCTTCATTCCATGTGTTTTTTGCGGTTCTTCTTCTGGTGTAATTCTTTTATGGCTATCTCTATCAACATAGTCAGCCTTGTAAGGTATTGCTAGCTTTTTTTTGATCTCGGCTTTTCATGTCCCATCTCCAACATCCAGATTTCATATGCAATATTCCATGTAGTCATTCTCAATAGGATTGAATGTTGTTCCGGATCTGATTGATCTCTGTTTCATGATAATTTCATGATACCTTACAAAAAGGCAGGTAACTCTAGCCCTGGACATCGTACGCTTACATGAATGGTGATATCACTGTTACTATGCAATCTCTCAAAGCAAAGATTCGACTTTAGGGAGATGAAGATATCTGAATTTGGAATGTATCTTGTTTTTGGAATAATATAGAACGAAATATATAACCCGCTTGTCATGTACCGCAAGACCGTACTCAAACCACGGTATATACCTGTACGTACCAGGAACATAACGAATACCTTTTCAGAGAACTTTGCTGTATATCGTATTATTATTTAGAATCGAGCAATTAATTTGATTTTGTAATTCATGGAAGCGTATATAAATACAAGGATAGGTATTATACACTATATCAATCTCTAGCATACTCATCTCCAGTGAACCCGAACTGGTTGAAAACCAAATCATCTGCCCACGTAATAGCAAACGGATTCCTGACCAGGTCAGACAGCGGACTTCCTAGCCTCGGTGAAAGCGATATCTGAATTGCATTGCGCTCATTGGAAAGCCCTTGAGAAAGACTCATGAATTTGAGGGAGAGTGGGAATCGCACAAGGGGTGACTAGTTAGCTGATTCCAGTCAGCGGTAGCTTTTATGGGCTGAAATCGCCGATGTCGGATGTCGCAAAGAGAGGTATGCCGTCGCTGGGTATAGCCGAATCGCTCGGATGTGCATATAGAGAAGGAAACATATGCCTATTGGTATTGGGTACTTTAGTTCCTAATGTTGACCTCGGTTTGCTTCACATAGATCCAAGCGCTAAAAGTTCCTAGCGTGCCGGTAGCTCTCTGTTGAGCGGGTCGGCCGGGACCGGATTGGAGGAGGCATAGGATTCTGGTCATGGCTGATTGATCTTATACGAAAAAGATGAGCTTGTTAGTATTATTGAATATTGTTTTCGGGGTAACTCTCGACACATGGTATTTAACAACGACAAAATGAAAAAGAGAAAATAATATCATGGACAACCTAGAGTTTCCATGCCAATGACCTATCCTACTACTAGACACACGCCTCCCCAATCCCGAGCCCTTTCATCTACGGTTTCAAGCCTGGGTTCAGTGCCTGGAAATGCAGCACAAGACTCCGGTCTTCACTAGGAAGTACAGTGCCCCGAAGAATCGGAAGATTGAGAGACCAGAAGTGGCCAACAGAATAATCTTGAAATACCATGCCGTGCGAGTTGTAGACGTCGACTATGTCAGTTAGCGGGTGTAAACAGCAGACGAAGGAACTCGAGCTTCACTTACCGTTAGACAAAGCCTGTCGATGCTGAGGTTGTTAATACACAGCGCCAGAAGACCATTACTGAATGTCCATAGCAACACCAGATTCGTTCGGAATGCTTTGTATGAATCGTCGAGGGCCACCCCTTCGTTCTCAGTTGGTTCTTGCCAGGGAGTCAAGGCCCGCTTCACAGTTGACGCGAATTGTTCATCAATGTCGACTTGAGGCTTGTCAAGTTCCTCGACAAAAGGCGTTTCATCATCCTTTTTGGTTTGCGCTGAGGGCAGTTTTTCGGGTGCATCTGATCCCTTTGTCCCCCATGAAACATCATGCCAATTGCAAAATGCATAGACCATCAGAACATTGATCGAAGAAGGCATTCCAAGGAAATATGCCCAGGAGGAAGTGAGCATATGCCAGGGGTCGGCGTAGAGTATACTTGCAATGAAGTAAATCCCGTATGTTGATACCAAGGCAATCAAAACAAGCCCACCCGTTGAGTTGAAAAAGCCCGATATGAGTGCCGAAAACCCATGGCTGAAATCAAAATTGAGATTCTCGGGAGTCATTGCCTGCGCAACGAGATAGAACGACAAAATGAGGAGATAGAGCTGGACCACAGAGAAGTAGACAAAGGAGAGCGTGTACAGAAACTTTGATCTGTGATTGGATATTAGCGGAGCGAAAGATAGTACCCTATCCCCAGGCCCTAATACTTACCCCTTTGGTCGATTTCCGAGAGCTAGAATGAATTGAAGCATAAGAAATGTCAGATAACCGATCTTCAACAGATTATTGACAATCGGGGTAGCATCATTCCCAAAAGGCCACCCTTTGAATTTGTTGGTCGCACTTGGTGTCCCCACAATATCCAAAATGACGGAACTAGTGAGCCAGTAGGATGCTATACTATGTTAGTGATCTGGTGTAGGATTGATTTGAACCCCAAAGAGTACCGTCAACTTACCGAGTGAAAGCCATGTCATGACTAACTGGCAGATATTGTAAATCAATTGGATATGAAGCAGTAGCAACCGAATGATACCATGCCCACTCTTATATATCCGATTGAAATGCATGACTGAATATAACGATGCTGCAAAAGAGCCATTCAGCCATCGTCGCCGTTGACTTAGGAACTCTGCTGGTCGTTCTGGGACGTCTGTTTCCCCTTTCGATGCTTTCACGTATGTAAGTAGCCACTGGTTGCCAGCCTTAGCAACTAATTCGAAGCAAAGGATACGATCCTCTGCAAGAAACATATTCTTCTTAAAGATATTCATTCCGTCGATCCCTTTCTTACCGAGCTTCTGAGCTAGTGTGTGATCCCCATGAAAATACTGCTCAAGAGGCCTGCCCATAATAGCGCGATACCGATAGGCAGAGAAAGCCCCCGGAAGTACGCTGACGTAGCCAAAACTGCTCTCTAAGGGCTTGTCCAGGATATTGGAGATTTTGTATTCAAAATTTTGAGCTGCAACCAAGGGATTGAGGAGCTTCTTCCATCGGTGGCCAAGAAGCGCGTGAATTTCACCGCAGGCCCCACCAATATTTTTATCGTTGTAGAAAGCCTGCCATAGGGCTAGCAAAGACTTAGGCCCGGGTTTTGTGCCCGCGTCAATCAAGATGCATATCTCCGGATTCAAAATGCGCCCAAATGCGTTGAATAGCCACCGATGTGAGTTGATCTTCTTCGCATTCTTTTTCTTAAGGCAAAACATCATTTGTACCGGGGGAAGATTCATAGGGTCGTCTTTGTATGGACGCACAAGCTCTTGCTTCGGCGTAACCGACAACTGTGTGGTATATTCAAACTAAGAACCATTAGCATCTAAACATTTCCCTTACTGAAATCCACAAGGGTTGGAAGGCGGGGAAACAAACAACATGAGCGATCGTTTCTCTTCCGTCCACATCTTGCTTCATCACGCCATCTTGAAAAACGCCAATAGTCGCCAGGACGTCAAGTGTGTTTTTATCGCAGGGATCCATGCCATCGAAGACAAGACAGACGACAATCTTCTGCCATGCGGGACCACCCCGATCCCAAAATTCTGTCTTTTTCAATTTCACGATGTCTCGGACATTTTGCATTACCCCATGCAGGGTTCGGGCGGTCAGGACTTTATCTTCGTTGTAGTATGTGACGGCAATGAGAAGTTCAGTGTGCCGATTATACATCGAAGGGCGGAGATTGTAACCATTGCGTAGCGTAAATTCATCAGGATCACACGTCGCGGCAGTGTCTAAAGAAAATAAAATAAGTCAGCTTATCATGATATGTTCGAGTCAACTGGAACATTGGTGGGAATACTCACATCTCATTTGTGTGAATTCTTCAGAAAGTTCCCCCTCCGCATCTCGATACTCTGGCTGGATAGCATTGCGTATAGGACTCGGTACCGGATAGTTGATACTCAAGACCGAGCCTTGTGTCAACTTGATCCGCCGTGTTGGATATCGACGGATGCTACTTCCCTTGTGTCGTCCCGACTCCTTGGAAGAGGACACAGCGGACCCCTGGTGAGAAAGGTTGTGTAATCTGATCTGATCAGGAAGGTCGAGTGATTCCATCGACCCTGGCCTAGGGCTTTGAACCTCAGCAGATGAAGAGTTATACGGTCGACGAGTGCCTTCGCTCCAAGAGATTGGGTCTGTAGAGGGACTGAGAGACAGGGCAGAAGAATGGGCCGGATGAAGTAGGGAGAGGGCGTGCTCATTTGGGACTCTAGTGTTCTGGCAAGGATGGGAAATGTCAGTTCGGCTTGCCGCATGTCCGGAGATCAAGCAATTTCCACTTCATATACACTTACCTGGGGCGAATAACCATCACTTAGGCCGTCACTCTCATTAGTTTGCCGTACATAGTGCGATGAATAAGGCCGATCAAAATAATTCATCATGTACCAATATGAATTCAGTACTGGGGGAGTGTGTAAGCTGAAAGTCCGAGATGCAATCCCTGAAATTTTTTGATGCCAAGCCGGTTCGAATTGATTAAGGTATGACAGGCTGTAGAAAAATGCCGAGGAATTTGCAGGGGATATCAATCAAGCTGAAAATAATTGAAGAGCCTTCCCCTTTCCTTCCCAACATGGAAGAATAACGAGCTAGGGCACTCTACCTTGGCCCAAGAGAAATTAAGTATAAGAGGCTAATTTAAGCCCGGGACCCCACATCTCTGCTCGATGAGTTGGCCAATAATATGGCAGGTCCTCTTTTTTAGCGTGAGGCTTAAACACCCTTATTATCCTCAACCAGCCAATGGACAAACCCATATTATAGGCACTTTAGTTACCTGAGTACATCATCTTGGTAAAATTTCACTTAATTAACCGACTAGATATTACTCGGATTTTGTGAAATCCCACGAGGCACAAAATTCCGATTGCGCCGAGATCTGGGATCACTTTGAAGTAAGACACGCAGTGAAGTTTCATGTATTTTAAGAGTGTTTTTAAAAGGGTTAGACCCTTCTAAGGATAAGTACGAGAGCTGGTTCCAAAATAACACTTCCCCTCCCAAATTTTCTCTATGTTGTTCAAAATGAGCTCACACTTGGCCTCTCCCGATCAGCGATGGAATCAGAGTTAAGACTGGACGAGACACAGCCAGACAAAGTATCGGGCGAAGTAATTGCACACCAGGTTACCGGCTGACTTGCCAACACATTGTCCTAAACTTGTCGGGGACAGCAACGTCGCGGCTGACTCAAAGCAAACGCACGGAAACTCATAACGTATGTATTGATTGTTGTCATTAACACGTAAACTTCAGCTTTTCCAAAAGTCTCACCGCCTCTTTCCTTCAGACTATTTGATGTATACTAGTTCAAACAGCTCTGGTGTAACTATAGGAAGCGGGGATAATATTCTCCGATTCTCTATCACAGTCAGCATTAATCAAAATCGAAACTATGTGACTGAATATTTTCAATATTTCTCAGATTCTACAGGTGATTGAATGTGTTCTCAAATGGCTGTCTGAGGCTGATTAAAAAGGGTTGTATTAGCCATGATCAAGATAAATAAGAAGGGCTAAAATTTCTGCATTCACCTTGGATCCTCTAACGAGAATTGCGAGCCTTATTTTAAGCTCATAACTTCTAACATTGCAGACTTCGAAGCTCGAAGTCTCAGGGGGCAGCCAGTCATTGGACCATATGGCATCCCCCAAACTGACCGTTGAGTCCGAAGGAGCATCTTTGAGACCTATCTTAGACGGGAACGTTTATCTCTTGATCCAATGATCTAGGGAAACTCCTATCAAGTTAAGTCTCATATCATCGGAAGAAGATATGAGCCGTACTTAGGGTACATGACGCATCCGCAGTCTCCCGTCGAGTCCCTGTTTGATCTGCAGGGAAAGCCCATTATCTGAGTTGTGTTTCCCGAGTTTGAATAATCCATGTCATATATACCACTTACCCACTTTTTGATGCGTTCCAACAGCAGAGCACAGGCCTTAACAATAACCGCTGAGAATTACGTAGTGGGAAGGGGAAATGTAAAGTACGATAGGGACGAGCAGGTAGAGTGTTTATCCATGTTATTCTTTGCTAACCTACGATGTTTGGGTTCGTACTGAGAAGCCCGAGTATCCTACTTCGTACCTCGCACGGCATTCGAGGTGTTATCTATCCCCCTGCAGAAATCCTCGCTCTTTCATTGTTTTGTCTCACAATATAGAGCTTTCAGTGAAGAAAAAGCAAGTCCAAACTATTTATAGACCTAAGTACCCGACCCTTGTGGACTAAATTAAAAGATTACTCAGTCAAATTGTCCGCGCTATCCAAATGGTACGGATGGTAGGGTAATATCATAGCCACAAACGCAGTCGTTTAGAGATGCTGTCTCACAAAGTCAGAAGAATAGTTCTGGCAAGAGTATCACACCTTCGCAGGATCACGAATTCAGTAACTTGAAAAAAGCAAATCTGAACTCAGCCATGAGTAGTACAACTTGGGCCGATTTTCAATAAGGATCACACAATCTAGGTTGATAGCCAGCCCCTTTCTAGTGGCTGTTTGTTAGTCCACTGGTTTCATTACTTGCAGATAGACAAGAGAATTCTCAAGACGCCGATGAATACGACCCTAAAGAAATATAAATATTATCACCCTGCTGACCTTGAGTTAGACTCCTCTAGTACCATTTCACATTTGACATTCCCATAATCGAGACATAGTTCGTCCAATTTCAATATGCGTCTCACCTTCATTGTATTTATGGCCATTATCGGCGCTGCTTTGGCTGCAGACAAGGCCCCTCCTACGGTAAGTTCTAACAAATGAACGTCAGATACCATTAAAGCCTCTAAACATTCTTTAGATTCAGAACGGATCCCCTTGCAAGGCCGATGGCAGCGCAGGAATCTGTGCCAGTGGCTTCTGTTTGGTAGGTTTCTTGCCTTGCTGAAAATGTTGTGACATCAAATATTAATATGTCATACAGCAACTTGCTCACGACAATGAGGGAGTATGCAAGTAGACTACGGATCTCACTATTGGTTTTAATTGATTGACGATGCGGCATTTCCGCTCAAAGGAAAGCCTTCAGGGGATACAGTATGGACTACTCATATGGGTGGGTTGCTTAAGTAGTCGATGTTTTTAGCTGAATATGATTGACTGCTCTCGGATTTGGAGAAAGAATAGCTTCCCTCAGCTCAAGGCTCCAGTTAATCGCGGCTCTCAACTCAGAACCCGTACAAGGCTGTGAAACAGAATGGTATTTGGTTCACCTGAATCGACCAAAGTCACTGGAGGGCCAGCTGTGACGTTCTACGGATAGGTTGCATAATAAATAAAAAAGGAAGTTGTGACATTTGCACCTCATATGGGCTCTGTTTTCGGATGTAATTCAATATCAAATAGTCGCTAGTACAAATGAACAGTTGCCAATATATAAATTTTGAATCAGAGTTAGAAACCTAAGGTTCGTTGTTAGCAATTTGATTGTTTCTGAAATTGGTGCACGAGAACCTACCCTTTTCCGTGTTACCATCACCCATGCTCTTGCTGCTGCTGCTTCCGCTCTGGATAGCGCCCAATATTCCATCAATGTAAGGCGCGCCACTCCACTTCTGGTGGGTGAGAACGTCGACACCGAGCTCCTTTTCGCGGGCCTGGACAAGACGGACATAAGCCAACATACCCTCATCCTTGAATGCACGGGAAAGTTCGGTCGTGATGGTGGCATTACTATGCAGACCAGCCAAGGAAATGAGCTGCAGGACAAATCTGAGAAAGGTTAGTGGATCGAAGCGAAATAGTTGCAATGTTGAGCTTACCCTTGCTTGGCAATATCCCAGACAAAGGATTTGAGGGAGGCCTCATCAAATCCTTGCCCCATCCAGTTAAATGAAGGGCTGAGGTTGTACACAAGCTTCTTGCCTGGGTACGCCGCCCGCACTTCGCCGGCTAGCTTTCCGGCTTTCTCAACATCTGGGTCACCGGTTTCGACCCAGAGAAGGTCTGCATACGGAGCAAACTCCTTCGCGCGCTTGGTCGCGGCAGGGAACCCTGCGGCGTAGTGGTAGAATCCCTCACGAGTGCGCGGGCTATCACATGACCACACAACAGGCCTTTTGGTGTAATCGTTCGCCAGGGCACGGCGACGGGAGAAGGAAAGATCGGGGTTCTTCTTAACAAAGGCCTTGTACGCATCGCGAGATGACTGGGGGGCGCCCTCCGACTCAAGATGAGCATCGACAGCTACATATTATTAGTGAATGGGATCGCTTGACACAGAATCAATAGACATACCTTCGTCGAATGTAACAAGCTTATGGCTCTTGACCCAGCCAAGTTCGAATGCGTCGATTTCTTTGGGTGGGACGCCCTCTCGTTCCATAGCTTGGAGGGTCTCGGCCAGAGGTTCCACCTCCTCCGTAATACCAAGGATGAATTCATGATCACGCACATCGATGGCGCTGCTGATGAGTCGGCCGCTCTCGGAATCTGTTCGAGCAATGACCAGGTTCTCACATCCCATCATATCCCACTGGAACCGAGCTGCGACCAGTCGGTTGATGTGTTCACCCACTGGGACGAGCACTTTGCCTGCAAGATGGCCGCACTTCTTTCCGCCGTGCAATTGGTCCTCAAAGTGAACGGCTGCGGCGCCATTCTCTGCAAATAGCTTGGCGAGTTTGAGAACAGCCGATAAGCCACCATGGCTGCACCGAGATAGTTAGTAATACTTCGTGCGTTCAATCCCAAGTATTAACGTACCCGGTGTCACCATCCGCAACGATTGGCCGGAAATAATCAGTGTAAGGTGTGGCCTTTCGCTCTTCTGGGGTCATCTTTCGCCTCGCGTCCCACTGTTTTCGGTCGTGCATGGACTGAGCCTTGAACAGACGCTGGACCTGGTTGGGGACGGTATTATAGGGATAATCGCCGAAATCCGGTGATACTTCATTGGTACTTGTCAAAAGTGAAGAGCAAGCCCAGCCTGAGATGTATAGAACCTCTTGGTTGGGGGCTTGCTGCGTCATTTGGACGGGGTCAATAGCTCCCACTTGTGTACGGAAACGAGATCAGATTTGCCACAATTGGAGCTCGGCCGGTCAAGGACTCACTGGTATGAACGGGCTGACCGGCAGCTGCTCGTTCGTTGAGAAGATTAAACAGCTTCCGCGCCATCAAAGAACTGGGATATGTTTGTTGCAAGGAGCCGCGTTTGCTCACAACATCTGCCGCCGTGTAAGGGCGCTTGATGCCTTCATAACGAGGCGAATTCCACCATGATTCCACATCACGAAGCTGTTGGTCGTAAAGGGCATCTTCCGCTGCACCTGCTTTTTCTTGTGTGGACAGCAGCTGGTATTCGTCTGTGGGGAGGACGGTGGATACGGGGGGCTGCACAGGCGTCATCCGAGTATAACCGCTTGTGAAAGGTCGCAATGAACGCGCAGAAATAGTAGACACAACAGGAACACGTCGAGGCAGACGTCTTACCGAACGGAACATGACTGACAGTAATAATGGAAGAACAAAATAATGGTTGAATTGAAACAGGGACGAACCGAAAGAAAAGGAACTAAGAAGCAAATAAGGGCTCCTCTTTGACCTCGGGCCGTGAACATCTGGGGTTTCCCCGCCACTTGACTCCGAAGGTCCGAAATTCGCTACATGACTAAGCGTACGGTCAATGGATGTTAACTACCGGGACCTCGGGCCTCGACCAACAACATTGGAGACTACGACACTGCTTCGTACATAGTATTCGTTTATGTGCAGTCTTTTTGCCTTGCTCGTTTTTCAGTGCCAACAGTCTTTTTACAGCTGAATATCCCATGATTGTCGGTCAGCGGTCAGGACAGTATGCTCTCAAAATGTACGACCTCATTGGAATGGTCCTTATTGTCATATATGACGACTGGCACCTTTTTAGGTTGACATTGTCTATGAGTAAAGGATCTTCTCATCGAGGGCTCTGAGGCTCCCAAGTCTGTGTGGTAACGAATGTTGGAATTCTTGTGTTTTACGAGCCGTGGTAACCTTGCAAGTGCCTCTTGGTTAGGTATGGCCTCTAGTTTTACCACCTGACTTCGAGGCATTCTTACTGCATTCGCCTGTAGTCTGACCTTAACATCTATCAATATCAACTGGCATCACTTTCACTTTGGCCTCACATTGTCTTCACTTCAATCCTTCTTTTATGTAGGCGTGTTGGACCTATCATTCAAAAGTTGATTATGAATACTACAATATACTACTAATTGCAGCCAGGATGTCGAACAATTCTAAAAATGTCAATTTTATACTCACAATAATCAAATCAGAAGATTCAGATCACAAGGTTAGCTATGGGATATAGCAGGCACTGGCGGGTGAAATGATTGAACAATGCCATTCAAAGGCTCTATTGAAGCACATGGCTATCCAAGTCTATTGTTCAACAACCGATCTATTGAGCGGATTCCTTGGGGCATAACTCAATACACATTATGCTCGATGGAGACATTCAGCTTGGAGAAAAAATAGTTGAGCTTTATTCATGTCGACTATCAATGGGCTCAGTACTGCTTAGCCGTATATAAACCTCCAAAATCCTCTCATCTAGTCCTTTCTTTTCCCTCTTCAAATCTCACCAATCTTCTGCCTCGCTCTCCCTTCTTTTCTTCTTTTCTTTTTTCTTTTTTCTTTTTTGTTTTTTTTTTTTTCTTTTTTTCGAAAATGGTGCTGGACACCATGCCTCCGTTCTCGAAGAGCGGCCTCCAGGTACTTGCTGGCAAGTACCTGGCTGGTCCTCTTCTGAAGTGGGACGAGATGTCCCTGTTTGACCAGTTGTTTGCCGCGGGCTCGGAGCCCGAAATGTCTGTCCTGGCATGGGAGCTGACCGAGCTCCTTTGCAACATGGTCATTGTCGTGGGGCCCGGCTCCCCCGAAGCCTTTCTCCTCCGTGTCGTCCTCGCTCCCGAGTTTGCGTGGTTCGGCTTGCACTGGGCAGGGATGCCACACCCTGGTAAGTACCTATCTCCAAGCATTGAAAGACGCACACTAACCCGCGATTAGCCCAGGTGTCCACGTACCCCTCCGAGCTCCTGGGGCTCCTCCACTCCCGCCCCCTGGCCGCATCTGCGGCCTTCCACCAAAACCTGGGGTTCGGCGACGAGTGGGAGTCCCTCGTCTGCTGTCTGTGGGCTCACCTGGAGCCCCGCATCTCCTACCTCCCCGCCGGCCAGCTGCAGTTCGCAGCTGGCAACGAAAATGACATCCTTGACCGAATGGGGGATGTCGAGTATCCCCCTTCGCCTGTTCGGGAGGATCTGGAGGGTGTGCTGCCCATGGAGGGCGTTGATTTTGTGCCGGTCTCCGGTGTCTACATTGACACCATGGTCCGGGATGTCTCCCCGGACATGGATGTTTGCGCAGAGTCTGGGGCCGTGTCTGCCTTCGCCCCCCCTGCTCTGACTGTGCCTTCCTCCGTCCCTCCGGTGGTGCCCTCCCTCCCCGTGGCCGCCCCCGCCACCAACAAGTACCGGCAACGGTACTAGTTGCGTTTGAGAAGACTGTGTGTGTGTCTGTGCCCTGATTTTCTGGGGCGTTAGCTACCGTTTGTTTTGTATATATATATTCTCTTAATGAAAGATATTTCTCTTCACTTTTGTTTTCTCTACAGGATATTTTTTGTCGTAGCCGATAATATCCGTAGTCCTAATGGTGTTGGAGAAATGATCCCCGCACGATGTTGTTAGGTATTGTTTATAGTGATTGATATCCACATCCACATAGATATATCCACAGATACCCGTGGACTCGGGTTGGAAGGACACACGAGCTCCTTCAACTCGGCACAGCGTAGAATCCAATCAGACATCCGCGATGGCCGAGCCGGTTGAGATTGAAATGGAAAACGCATCTGGGATTCTCCAAGATCGGCGCCCCCGCATGGCTTATCATCTCCTCTCCGTGGGATTCCCTATCTTCCACTTACCATTCGCTGTCAGCGCCTCTTATCTTTCTGTCTTCATCTCCCTAGTTATTTGTGTATATCTCGTTTTCTTCCGTTTGAATGGGTTCAACATCGACTTGGTATGGAAAGCATTAAATTCCCACCGATTTTAGACCCGCCCGACAACCCGGCATCAGCGCGGGGAAATCTTGGGCCACAAAAGCCAAAACAGACAAAGAGTCGGAATGGTAAGTAAGAATACAGTGAGCCTACGTCTTCCTGTTAACGAGGCAAGAACAACGAAGAATGTTACTTCATCACATTGTTTACAAGATTGACTCGAGTCTCCACTTTTATAGGTTGCATCACCTGCAAGGCAAAGCGGTTGAAGTGCGACGAAGTCAAGCCATCTTGTCACCAGTGCGAAAGACGAAAGGTCCAATGTGGAGGATACAAGAAAGACTTCAAATGGCGACCGTTCGAAGAGATCAACATGGCCTCTGGGCGGCCTACCGTACCCAAAGCCAAAAAGGGTAAGTCACGGGTCGTGTGAGTTAGCCTGGTATACTCACGAATCCTTTTAGCGAACTCTTCATCCCATCAAGCTTCCTCTGCCGCCAATATTGGCCAGTCCTTTCCGACTCCTCCGACGACTGAACAATCGGCATCGCCGATTCGCATACAGTCCCACAAATTTGGTGGCTCTCGTTCGCCTCCAGGCTCTCCTTTGCATAGCTCGCCCCTTAGTATAAATAGCTTTCTTTCCACGGAAGCCCGTTCTCTTGAAGATCTACCCGTCACACGGGAAGATGCTTCCATGGTAGAGTGCAATGAACCTCCCCTTGATATCAATGTTTCATTGTCCGCCGACTCTCCCCCTTTCAATTTTCTCTCCTTCTTGGATCCTTTTCAGGATTCTCTGTCGCTTGCAAACCCCTTGGGCTCTGATGTCGATACCGATACTGCTAGACATTTGCCGTTGGTTCCAGACAAGCCAGATACCGATGCATCTAGGCTGAGCTTCTCTCAGCTATTGGAGGATGAAAACGATGACATTGAGGAGATCATCCGGAAATCGGATCCAGCATTGGGACCTTGGAATTTCGCCCTAACCGAGGGAGACTCTTTCCATATTGACCCCCCAAGCATGTCAGACAACCCATCTCTACCCCCGGAAAGTCCGGAAATGCTCGTGATGCGGTTTGATAAACTCACATGTGGGATTTTATCTATCAAAGATGGTTCATTAGAGAATCCGTGGCGAACACTCATTTGGCCGTTAGCAAAAGACGCGCCTGCACTTCGCCATGCTATCTTTGCTCTGACAGCGTTCCATTCGGTAAAGCAAAGCCCGCACCTTCGGATCCAAGGAGCCAAACATATGCGCCAGAGCATAAATGGTCTAGTCGGACAAATTCAGAATATGAGGGCGGATACTGCGCTGGCGACTAGTTTGGCTTTGGCATTTGCCGATACCTGGGACCAAAACACCCGCACATGTATTCAACATCTGCGAGGCGCAAAAACATTGATGTGTCAGGTGATCGCGGCCGGGATGCAACGAGGTGTTAGTGATGAGGAGCTGGATCGCATCCGGTTCCTCTATAACACATGGTCCTATATGGATGTGATCGCACGACTGACTTCTTTGGATGAATGTGGTCCTCAAAACTGGGATTCTTCGGTTTTCGAGCTTCCAAGTGATACAGTCCATGATATTGATCCGTTGATGGGCTGTGCAACGACTCTATACCCTCTTATAAGCCGGGTTGCGAAACTGATCCAGCATGTGCGGAAGAGCACGTCGAACACGGTGTCGGTTGTGGCCCAAGCTATGGAACTCAAAGCTCTCGTCGAGCAATGGGAGCCACCGCAATGGTTTGAGCCACCAGATGACCCCAACTCCGAGGTTCAGCATAGTATTCAAGTTGCACATGCCTATCGCTGGGCGACGTTGCTATACCTACATCAGGCTGTTCCAGAGATACCCTCCGAGCCGGCCGATGAATTAGCAAAGAGGGTCCTGATCTTGCTTGCCACTGTTCCCTACACTTCCAGGACTACTATCATACAAATGTTCCCTCTACTAGCAGCTGGGTCTGAGGTTGACACTGAAGATGACCGAAAATGGGTCTTGGATCGATGGACCACAATTCAGTCTCGATTGATGCTAGGTGGTGTTGATCGCTGCTTGGAGGTGTTGAAGGAAGTCTGGGAACGTCGCGACGCAATGAATGCTAGAAGAGCGCGTGAAATGGCCAGTTCGCGACGTGGCGAGTCTTTCTCATCTGGAGATAGGGAGAAAATGAGCTCGTCATTGCCAGCCGATTTCCGCAAATACAGTCTCAATGGTTCCCACAAGGGGCCAACTGGAAGGCCAGGACAACCTACATCGAGGTCTGCGCGACGGGGTTCCGCACTCGCCCCGCTTGAAAACATTGAATTTGAAAGAACTGTGCGTGGCAGATTGCATTGGGTGAATGTTATGGCTGAATGGGGATGGGAAGGTGGGTTTGACAACTTTCAAACTATTTCCTCCAAAAGCTAACTCTGCAACTCATAGTTTTCCTTGGCTAGCCTACCAGCAATGAATGGCCCAAACCTTGGTTGAAATTGGGTGCCATGCGAAAAGAATATACTGTTCTTTGCATTCTAGCCTGCTGCACTAATATGACAGCTAACAAAGCAAGCAAGTCTGAGTTCTTGTTTCCTGATTTTTGTTATCATGTCCTCATTCCTGTGTCTCTACTTTATTTGTCCTAAGGTTGAAATTGTACCTGACTTGGTGTTGCCTTGAACCAGCGCGGCGTCTAGGGAGTCTGTTGTTCTCTTGTTGATGAGTTACGACAACGATGTTTTTTTTTCGATTGAGACTTGTTTTCTACAACTGTGATCGTCGCTCTGACAACGAATTATGGTTGATCTAGGAACTAATATGTCCAACATGATGGTGGTTTATTTGACTTCCACGCTTTCATTCAGCTTTTCAATACGCGATACCCATTCCGGAAGCCCCTAAGCGACTACCCAGTTTTTGGCCTATTGATATAATTCCCCAATGCTGATTCTCTATCGAATTTTCAGTAATACGGAAACCATGATCAGCCCTATCAGAGTCAGGCTCATCATCTTCTTTGCCATATGCACCCGATACATCAGCTCGCTTGGCCATTATTACCGCCCTATACCGGAATACCTACCTACCAACACTGATCATCCGACGAAAGCAGTAACCCACATTTGCCTTCGTAGGCGCGACCCAGCAAGGCCTGGTCTGATATTGTCCCAACTGCGAAAATGTAAATTCCAGGAAGCTATATTTTCAGAGAGACTATTCTCTGATTCTTACAACAATCTACACGATACCCAAGTCTCTGGCTTCCCTTACGCGCTGAGGAACTATGTTCTTAGCCAGATTCTTGGGTGGCCCTGATACAGTACGTCCTGGTCCCGATCAAATTATGAAGTTCTGGGAGTTCACAATCTATCAGGATTTGCTCATTACATCGTGACATCTTTAGAGTTCCTTAAATCAAATTGAAAGGAACGACGATCAATATCCAGATGCATTTGGTTGTTGACGAGTGCCCCTAGGCCTAGAGGCGATTATTCCCCAGGAGATACCGCTCACCAATTGCTGATTTGTAAGTTGAGAGTTTTAGAATTTCACATCCATCTAATTTGCAATAGGTGCGTGAAATCCGGATCCCCTCAATAAGGGAATACAAACTGCTCAGCTTTTGCGCCAAGAATAGGTACGAAATCTTCACCCTCACAAATCTTCATGGCCTTTTGATAAGCAGGCCGATCACCAACACGCTTGAGATAAGCTAGAATGTTCTTATGCTTCTCCTCATCAAACTCAATCGGACAAAATCCTCTCATGGTAGTGAGAGTACAGATTGCCATGATATCCGCGGCGGTGACGTCATTCCCAACGAGGTAGGATCCGGTTTCGCCGAGTCTCGCCTCAACCATTGAGAGCGCACGCTCTAGTTTCGCATTGCCCATCTTGACGTGCACTGATTCCGGGTCGCTGGTCAAGCGCCGGGTTATCAGGACACGGAATAAGGTTGGCTGTAGGGAGGCATTCGCCCAGTGGTACCACTCCAGGAAATGGATGTATTCGTCGCCGTCTTTCGGTGTGCGCGCGAGACGGCCCTCTCCGTAGGCGGCGATAATGTAATCAATGATAGCGCCAGATTCAGCGAGCACGACCTTGTTTTTTGTGAAGGGAGAGCTGTCGTCTTCGATCACCGGCGCAGTGCCGGCAGGATGCAGGTCTTTGATTGATTGCGGGGAGAATATAGGGTCGCGCTTGTGGAAAACGAAGTCATAATCGATGCCAAGTTCTTCGGCAAGCCAGACGATGCGCTCTGATTGCGAGCGGCCAAGGTGGTGGATTGTCAATGGCATCTTGGTTTGGGATTGAGAAATGATGAAGGGGTGTTGGGCTGTTGGCGATGTGGGATGGGAATTGTGTCGAGAAACCAAGTAGTGATACTCTGTAGGATCGTCGGCATCGTGATAGGGGCCGTCTCCGCTTGACCTTCACCGAGATTCGTCAAATTCGTACCCCTAGATCTCGACTTGGACAGCTCCATTACTTGAGTTATGCGGCAATCGGATTTCGTCAACTCGCGGTTTACATATATGATCTTAGTGAAATGGCAATGAGGTTAACTATGAGTGTCTAGACCCACTCAGCCATTAACCAATACATGTTGATATTTAAGCGCTTCGTCTGTCTAAATATGCATAAGACTTAAAGCGAATACGGAAACTAGCGGAGAAAAAGTACCATTAAAGCTGATTCTCTGAAGATGCGTCAAAGCGGGGGATGCATGAAGTACAGGGGTAGCGTTCTCGTTTTGCCGCGTCCACATCACCTCTGTGGTTTGATCCTGTATCTACCCACTTACCTGAATAGCTACCCTCGAAAATAATCACCCGAAGCAGCATTGCACAGATCACTCGTGTCCGTCGATTTGACATGATCAACCCCCAAGACAGATTTTGGTCCGACGCCCAAGCCTACTGCGGCAGGGTCGAAGACCCTGCCACCAAAACTTATTGCAATGTCTGGGATTGGGACCAACTACGGATGATCAAGGTCAAAGGCACCGCCAAGCTGTTTCCGCCCGATGGGAATATTGAGCCCTTAATTTTGGCACCATTAGCGGATTATCTATCGCCGGAAGTTCGCGCAATCACAGTCGACGATGATGGGCTACTCACTGAGGTATCGATGGATCCAGGGGAGGACGACACCATGTTTATTGCTTATCCTCGCCTCTCACTCTGTGGATCGCTTGCAGGTTGCCGTACAATTCAGTACTCTAAACTCTGAGAGCTCGATCGGCTTGGGCCATTTGTTGGTCTCTCATTGTACGAAGACGAGTCAGGGACTCAAAAGGTCGCTTTCAAGTTTGACGTCTTATATAAGGCTCTATGACTACAAATGGCCTGGGATGAAGTTAATATTCTCAAAAGTCTACCACCACATCCTAATATGGTACCATTTGATCGCGTTGTCCTCGATGAATCTCGGGTGATTAGTTTCACAACAAAGTACATCCCAGGTGGAACTCTCGCCAATCCAAAGATCCCTTTTCGATTTGAGTGGCTACAACAGCTTACTCAACTGGTGGATTTCCTCAACCTTGAATATGGAATCATGCATCAAGATATTGCACCCCGGAATCTACTTGTCGACCTTTATACACATAAGATCCTTCTTTTCGATTTCGATTGGGCTGCATGTGGAGAGAAAAACCTACAAGACGGTCGTGATGACGTTAGTAGCGTTGTGCTCACACTCTACGAGCTTATCACGAATGATACGTCCTTCTCGGATATCCTCCACTGGGAACGAAATATGGACATAGTGTCAAATACTCGATATTGGAAAGCAGTGTGTGGAGAATTGTTATGTAAAATTGCTTGAAATTGTTATAGTACACCTATCCCCTGCACAGTCGACCAATATTTTCCCATTTCTCAAGTTCGACTATCCTCTGTGTGTCCGTATTCCTTTTATGCCAAGCATTAAAAGACACTGATGGGAAGGGCTAACCGCATGAAGTAAAAGAATCCCTACTCAACTACACAATCTTATCACTGGAGGTAGGCTCACCTAGGCATAACTAGTAGTAGTAGACGATGAGACATCAATACCGTCGAAACTCGGGAATTTTCTCTTGATTGATAACGGCCTCCCCTACCATTCTCAGATCTTTATCTCAAGCTTGTACTTCCCCTCATCACTAGCAAGCCCCTCAACCTCTCCGTGATTTTCCCAACCCATTCTCCGTTGGGCTGCCTAGTCAGGATATCAGATCCGACTATCGCTATTCGTCTGGATTGAGTTACCCTAAGTTTGGGGGAGTTTTCTTTCTAGATGACATCCCCTCATTTCGTACATGGCAGAGCGCGGCAACATCAGTATAAAGCAGAGGTAATCCTCGAGAATGGATTGGAATATCGATTTATTTCTATACTAGATTCCTCATAGTCAGACTGATTCCTCAAACCATGGCAGTTCCATTTACCTACCACGCTAAGGCGCAATCCACCTTCAAGCCGCCACTTATTGCCAATGACAACGCCTTCTTGGGTGATGTGCAGTCAAGGTATGGCGATACTTGTATAGATAATGTTTCAAGTAAGCAATTTTGTTGACATACTACAGCGAGAAGGAAAACCCAGACAAGCCCATGTCATGCGGCTTTTACCGACTGGAAAAGGGTACCCCCCTCGTCTACACCTACACCTACGACGAAATGAAGATTATCGTCGAGGGCAAATTTGAGATTGCCGACGAGACGGGCCAGAAGGTTACGGCGACTCCGGGCGATGTGTTTTATTTCCCCAAGGGGGCGACAATCACCTTTACAACGGATGACTATGGACTGGCGTTCTATGTGGGTACCCAGCTGAAATCCGAATCATATTCCAACGGACCCAACTAACGAAACCAGACTGGCCAAAGGAAGCAGGGCGCTGCTTGAGGATATAAGGATTAATAAGATTAATAAGAATTTTAAACTTTTTATTTTTTAATTTCTCATTTTAGAAGTTTCCGGTTCCGTGGTTGGGCTTGCCAATTATCGGGGTCCCCGTGCCTCCAATCCATGGAACACTCGGCTGTGTTGGGCTAGTTATTTCCCAATCCGGTAGTTTGCTTATATATCCCTTGCAATAGCTTCATGATTCCGGTGGCTGCACCCGACTAAGGCCTACCATAGACTACCTACATGTACATATACATATGTATCGCCCGGACAATTATTGCTTATTCCCCCGAACACGGGGATGTGCGACATTCGCTAGTCTGGATTATGCAAAAGTCAAAACCCAAAGTGCCCACTTCAGTGGCGGTTTCATGTTGGGACCCCATAGAGTCAATCTCACTTGAGAGGAGCCGTCAAAGCACAAGTAGCGATTGGAAGTGGAGATGATTTTCAGCTCGCTTCGATAAACTCATCCACTCGGCTGGGGTTTAGGGGGGGTTTAGGCGGGTTTTTCATCAGTGTGCATGACGTGGGGGGAGTTGCTACAGCAACTCCGTGAGGAAGGGGGGGATAGAGTCGATTGTAGAATTGAGAATCAAGATCTTCTGAGATCTTGGTGGAGAGGGATCGACTTGGAAATAACAAACATAAACCTTCCAATATTTCCGAGGGACAAAGGCATTTTCCTCCTTTCCTTTTCTCTTCCCCTAACCATCTTCGTGACTTTGCCTTTGTTCTGGCGTGTTAGTGCCCATTAGTTCCGGCCTTATCACAGGGGTCATCACCAACCCCTCTATCGCTTCGACATCAACACCATGGCTATTATTCCAGACGACCATCTTGGTCTCCGACTCCCTAATCCACCACCCTTGTTGCATACTCGTGGGCAATTCGATCGCCCCGCTACTCCTGCCGATGGCTTTACCAGTCCACCACAGACTCCCCAGGGTAGCCCCAGCAAGTCAAGGTTGCCTCCGGGCGCACTCGACCTACCCAATGTCTTCGACAAGGCGATGAAGTTGAATCCCACCACCCCCTCCAAATCGACATACAACCACTACAATCATCCAATGTTCTCTGCTGGCAAGAGTGGCGAGGACTTCAGCGAGAGCGTTATCCACCAAACCCCTTCGAGCCCAACGCGTAGAGCCAACAAGGAGAACACACCCCCCAACCCAACACGTCTAAAGGACCTGGGATCGACCCCAACTGCTGCAGCTCTTTCGCGCCAAGAACCATACCAACCACGCGATGATACGACCAGACGCCAGGTGCAGATGCGCGGCCTGACCCCCGAGGAAATGGAGAAGCTAGCACAGCCCAAAGTGAAGCGCCTCGTCAATGTGACCCAACTCTGTAAGTGCGGCCCGACCTGATAATTTTAAGACAGATTGACTGATTCGTGCATGACAGACTTCCTTGACCATTACTTCGATCTCCTTAGCTACGTCCACAATCGCCAAACCCGCCACACACAATTCAAAGCCGCTTACCCCGAACCCCCTGCTACCCCTGACGAAGAGTACGAACCCGCCCTCCTAAAATACCTCGGCCGTGAGCGCGCACATCTGCGGAAGCGTCGCACACGTCTCCGCCAGGGCGACTTCCAGATTCTGACTCAGGTTGGCCAGGGTGGATATGGACAGGTGTATCTGGCACAAAAGAAGGATACGCGCGAAGTGTGCGCGTTGAAAGTCATGAGCAAGAAGCTGCTTTTCAAGCTGGATGAGATTCGTCACATCCTAACCGAACGCGATATTCTCACTGCGGCCAAGAGCGAGTGGCTAGTCAAGCTACTCTATGCCTTCCAGGATGATACGCAAATCTACTTGGCCATGGAGTATGTTCCTGGTGGAGACTTCCGCACGCTGCTGAATAACACTGGCGTTCTTCATAATCGACACGCCCGTTTCTACATTGCTGAAATGTTCAGCTGCATTGATGCGCTCCATGTGCTAGGATACATTCACCGTGATTTGAAACCTGAAAATTTCCTGATCGACTCTACCGGCCATGTCAAGTTGACCGATTTCGGTCTGGCAGCTGGTATGCTGAGCCCGGGCAAAATCGAGTCAATGCGTGTGAAGCTTGAGGAAGTCGGGAACACCCCCGTTCCCTTCGGTCGACCCATGGAACAACGTACAATGGCCGAACGACGACAAGGATACCAGTCTCTGCGCCAGCGGGAAGTCAACTACGCCAAGTCGATTGTCGGATCGCCGGATTACATGGCGCCGGAAGTTCTCAAGGGCGATCAATACGATTTCACTGTGGACTACTGGAGCTTGGGATGTATGCTGTTTGAGGCATTGGCAGGCTACCCGCCTTTCGCAGGCGCGACAGTCGAGGAGACATGGCAGAACCTAAAGCGCTGGCAGAAGGTATTGCGGAAGCCCGTCTACGAGGACCCAAACTACTTCCTGTCACGGCGGACGTGGGATCTCATCACGAAGCTAGTTGCTGGGAAGGAGCAGCGCTTCAAGAATATCAAGGAGATTCACGCGCATGACTATTTCGCCGAGGTCGACTTCGAGGGTCTGCGTGAGCAACGAGCTCCATTCGTGCCCGAACTTGATTCGGAGACTGATGCTGGGTACTTTGATGATTTCAGCAATGAGGCGGATATGGCCAAGTACAAGGAGGTCCATGATAAGCAGCGGGCGCTGGAGGATATGGCCGATCGCGATGATAAGATGAGCAAGGGCTTGTTTGTCGGGTTTACTTTCCGGTATGTTATGCTCAAATCCATGTCGTTCTCTTACTGACCACTATAGTCATCGCAAACCTGCCGTCGACAGCAACGGCCGCAGCAGCTCGCCGCGGAAGCCTATCGCGACGGATGGCACATTCGGCACAATGTTCTAGGTTCCTGGACAAAATGCAGACTTCACATTCATATTCGGTCAATCCTTTTCTCTTCTTGCGTTCCACTGGCGCGTGCGGGACTCCGAGCTGGATCTTGGTTTCCTTGTGCCAGATGTCCCAGTATTGAGTTTAATGGCTCATATTTTCTCTTCTTTTTGTTTTAACTTCAGCCTCATTTTCGACTTGCAACCTGCAACGTGACACTTCTTCTCGACTCGTTCTGATTTTATGGTGCGCGTGGAGTTGTGGAATTCGATTCTTGTATGATACAGCCATAGATCGAAAATGGCGCAGTTCCTGCCTTCTGCTAGTAATGGTTTCATTGTATGGAATATGGAATATGAGATTGATCTCGATCGCGATCCTGTGCCGAGCAGACTATATGTAGCGCATATATCTTACCGCAGTACGGAGTAAAGTATCGACTCTTTTAGTTTACAGGAAGCTGGCGCACCATGCGTAGGATCTCGGACTTGTCGTCTCCAATGACAGCACGACCATTGACCCAGTCAACGGTCTATAGAGTATAGTATTAGCACAACATATCCAGAAAGATCTCCGATGTAACAATGGGAGTAAGGAAAAGGTCGAACATACAATAGGCCTCACGAAATTCTCATTATCCTCCTTGAACTTCTTCAATGCGTCCTCCGCATCGCGGGCGCCCTTCACCAGCTCCGCAACACCATACGTCACCTTCTCGCCGGGATTGCCAACACCGCTGACGGGCGAGATGTAGTCGAGGATGCTGCGAAGCTGGTCTGTTGTCGGGGGCGAGGTGGTAACCTCCAGCTCGAACTCGCCGCGCTGTTGCTTTGAGTGGTTGGTGTGGTCGCTAGCTTGGTCTTCTGTGGCGGTTTCACCAGCGGTTGCGGAAGCTTGTTTCAGGATGTTGAGGGTTCTAGTCGATGCTTGGATGGAGGGGGAGTGGAAGAGGGTGATGGGGTCGAGGGTTTTGCTCTGTTTGTGAGTTAGATGGTGGTTTGGCAGCTAAGGGGGGGGGTGAATTGGTGGGTATGGAGGTTCATATAGGCAGACTTACGAAGCGGAACATCTTGACGGTTTGGGTATTTGCAATTTGGATGTGTTTTGGTGATAGAGGTAGGTAGAATGGAGGGAGGTGGAAGAAGTGGAGTTGGCTTAAGCTGCAGTTCCTGGATGATGTCATGTGCTGGCTCGGGTCGTCTCGGGCTAAGCTGCGCTGGTCCGAACGCGTCAACTTGATCTTCTCTTTCTAGTGTATATTGTATGCTACGAATACTACGTTGAGAATTTGAGAAATGCCATGGGGTATACAGAATCATTTTCTATGATCAGGCTTCTACCGCCTAACTTGGAGCGATGGCGTCCCTATGTCCTATCAACTCTCAACTCCCCATTTTGAGAAGGGTTTTGAACATCTCTCAACATCTAGGACTTTATCTAGGCGACATAGCCTCTTACTGCTCATTGACTGTCCCCATGCAGTCGATTGGCCTTTTTGTAGTAGGACTGAGCGATGTATCCAATGCGGTTAGGAACAGAGGCTGTTGGGGAGGGCGCCAAGTTTCGGGGTTGCGTGGTATTGTACCTCACTCGCCTCCAGCGAGTATCAGATTGTCACCTTTAGTCATTCCTCTTGTTATGCCTGCATATACTCATTAGTGACACACCAAAGTGCCAATATGCAAGAATATGGACATACCCAGGAAATCATAAACCAAAGTTCTCAACATGCAAGTAGATACCCTGCGCGCCAGTTCCTTTGTGCACAGCTCGTTCATCGCTCAGAGAAACCACGCTGCGGCGGACATCGTCTGCTAGACCACGAGGTCCGCACACAACCACGGCACTTTCTCCTTCGGCTTTCTCGAGGACCTTGCGGATGATGATTCGTGGCATGGGACGACCGGAGATAATGTTGGAATAAATAATTTCTTTGCTTGCGACTTCTTCAGGCCGAAGAGACTTCACATCCAGAGCAGCCTTCTCAGACTGAACAGGTGCTGGGCCAGAGCAGGTACAGGCACAGGCAGTATTGATATCCTCGTCTTCGATTTGCGCAGTGCAACAGCAACCTCCACCAGGGAGACACCCGCTACCTGTGGCAACGGGAGCCGAGGTCGATGTCGACTCGGCAGAGAGAGAATTAATCGAGACATTGTCCTTCTTGGATATATTCTTGCCTTCATCCTGGGCAAAGGTCTCCAGCGTAGGCGGAGACACTGTCTGTGATGGTAGTGAGACAGATATAGGCGGATCTAGCTTTTCATCGCATGTAATATAAATGCTAATTTCAATTTCCTTTTCGAAATTTGAACGTGTGCGTCGACACTCACTCACGTCTGCCAGCAAAGATTGCAGTTCGGAATCAAAGTAAGTCAGCTGAGAACGTGATTTGATTACCCAGACAAAGCGTAACCGCTTGGTAGCTGTTAAACGAGCAATACGGGCAGGCATCTGCTCCTTGCTGCCGTTGCTCTCCAGCTTCCATGCTGAGACAATATCCCGCAGAAGAGGCACCGTGAATGTCGCACCCATGCCACCCGCCAGCAGTACAACACTGTCGAACTGCCGCAAGGGCCGGATGCTTCCATATGGCCCTTCGATAAAAACTGTCGAACTGGACATTCCCGCCACTTGTCTATTCCCCAATAGACTATCGCTCTTTGAGGCGTACCGGAAGAAACGTCTAGTTCCCCCATTCTCGGCACGAATAAAGAACTTCATCTTATTATCTTCTGGAATGGATGCAATGGTGAAAGGGTGACATTGCAATGGAGCGACGGAGTGGCAAGTGAGGAAGACATGCTGACCGGGTTGCCACCCGATACCGGGGTTTTCGATAGTAACACAAGTGACATTTCCAGGTAGTGGAGTGAATGTAGCCGAGTGTTCCCAAAGAGCATTGGCCTTATTCTTTCGGTGGAAAATGGCCAAGTTCGCATATGCACCCCAAGTGTAGCGAGCAAGCCGATCGAAGACCAAAAGCCCAATTGGGATCCATACCCAGACCTTGACTTCATTAGGCGCATGCATCCATACCGCAACAATAAAGCCAACAAAGGTGATTAGATGCTGGATGACAAAGAACTCATAACTGAGCCGACGGATTGGAGCGAAGGAAGTGATCACAATAAAGGTCAGAATAACCCAAGCGGCAAACCCACGCTTCGTCAACGGATCGTTATAGAGCTGGTACGTGATATAATTCCAGCGACCCCAATCACGGAACCAGAATCCCATATGGATGGTGGTAGTCAACCACAGCGTCCGGGCAACCCAGCGATGGTACCAGTTCAAACTGACGTAGCTCATTCCTGCCAAGAACCCAATAATGTTCTGTCTGCCTGCCAGCAGAAAGATCAGCGGCAACTGGCAAATGGCGATGAAACCAGTGCGGTAGCCAACATCTTCCCATTTCCATACGTCCGTAGTGTCCAGCTTGTAGAAACACAGGACCATGACTACCACCAGGTTGGCTAACATGATGAGAACGGGGCCAAGTGGCGGGAAATGGAGGGTCAATCCTCCGAGTCGAAACGGCCGTGGAGTCGCATAGCTGACTTCGCGGACTGTTGCTGTGACGGTGGCGTAGAGATTGAAGAACAGAGATTTTGGTTTGGCGGGCGTGAGTGAAGAATCTCGCAAGCTGATTATTGTCAGTCAAGATCACCGGATGTCAAGGCACAACATACCGATGGCTAGCAATAACGCGATCCAGCACGTTCACAAGGGTTGCTGCCCCGATTGCACTTCCCACGACAGCCCAGTACATCTTCTGCAGGGTGAACAGACTGGGAATGCCATCGCCCATGGACATTGAGCCCGCAGGCATGTCACCCATTGCCATGGACATCTTGTGCTGGATGTGTAGAAGAAGGCATGAGATGGAAGCCCACTAAGCATCACCCAGGTGTCGAGGTCACCAATGTCACCAATAACAGAGCAGATTACCAATATTATGCTCATCCATGCTCACCTCCCGGGTTTGGGTCGAGGTGGGGTCCGCCATGTGGACACCCGTGGCACCGTTGGGCCCAATGCGGCAATGTGTAACTTCCTGTTTCGAAGGTTATTTCTCTTCTTCATCTTCTGTTGATTCTCATACTCTCTCTCCTTCCTCAATCATAGAATCAATCAGAAGACATGGATATGACCAGCTCGACCTCACACAGTATGAGCTCCTCGACGAGCTCTATGAGCATGACTATGGTCTTCAAAAATTCGCACGACACGCCGCTTTTCTCCAATGCATGGACTCCTGCATCCTCCGGTGGCTTTGCAGGCACATGTATTTTCTTGATTATTCTCGCTATCATCGACCGATGCCTCATCGCTTTCAAAGTAACCATGGAGCGCCACTGGCTCGCCGCACATCTCAACCGACGATATGTCACTGTTGCTGGCAAAAGCACCGAAGCTGCCAACATTGACTCCGACCCGGATGCGAAACTTGCATCGCTTATCACCGCGCAGGGCGTTGAAGAGTCAGTCAAAGTTGTGCACAACATCACTCATGGGCCAATTCCCTGGCGGTTCAGCGTCGATCTACCGCGAGCAGTCCTGTTCCTAGGCATTGTGGGCGTATCCTATCTACTGTAAGTTCTAGTATTTACTGGTATTAGGGCAAACGCTAATACCACGTCCAGCATGCTAGCCGTCATGACTATGAATATCGGCTATTTCTGTTCGGTGCTTGGAGGCGCTTTCCTCGGGGAATTGGCGGTCGGGCGCTTTATTCAAACTAATGAGCATGGCCACTGAAGATCTTACATTTGACTTTGATACGTTTTGCGCATGTGGGAATTATTTATGAACTTGAGCAGCATCTGTCTGGCGTTGGGGATAATATGATACGGATTGACTTGACTCTAATTGCTCTCATCATAAATCTCTCTTTTCTTTTCCCCCTCCTCGCTGTCTCCGCGGTCCAGAGCTGCATGCAATCAGATGACTAAACCCTGCGCGCGCAATTGAGCTAATTTACTAACCGGATCCGGACTAGCCCGTCGGTAATATCCACTTTTGGCGCTAGCGTAAGGCTTTAATTTACTTTGGTCTGAGTTACCAAAAACAGCAGGTACAGGCCGTTGTATCTGACATATGACCATTGTCGAGAAATTGTAAGGTGTCTGGAAATATGCTAGGTGAAGATATATGATTATCCAGTATAGCGTGGTATGGAAGCATCGGGGAGTGAAGTTCAGGCTATGGGAGCCTAAAGACCACTCCATAAAACAGGATCCCGGTGTCGGATGATTCCGAATCATGCAGTCTCAAAGGGGAAAGGGTCATTATTGCCGGTATATCGGATCCAACGGGGCTTCATAGGTGGACCCTGTTTTTGTCAAGTCCCGCTAACTCCCTCACCTTGTACATATATGCAGAACTCGTATAGACCTCCGGGGTTCAAAGAGCTGAGTTTTCCCACTTTTTCTAGGATATCTACTCCTGTCTGATTCACTTGCTACACTTATTCCAGCTCTTCTATTTTAATACGCCAACATACTCCCAATGAAGCTCTCCCTCTTCACCTTCACGGCCATCGTGCCATTGGCTGCCGCACACTTCAAGCTGATGTATCCAACCTCTCGTGGCTTCGACGAGGATACCATGCCCAATTTTCCCTGCGGTGGAATGAGCCAGTCCTCCAATCGTACAAAACTGCCACTGTCTGGTGGCTCATTCCCCGTCGCTCTTCAGATGCACCATTCCCAGACTGCCGTCGAGGTCCTTCTTGCTCTGGGCAGTGATCCGGGAGACAACTTCAACATTGTCCTCTCGCCAACTTTCCAGGTCAACGGCCTTGGTGAATTCTGTCTTCCTCACGTCGAGATCAATGAGAAGTTGATCGGCCGTAACCTCACCAATGGGATGAACGCTACCCTTCAGGTGCAGACCAACGGTGACCCAAGTGGTGGTCTCTATGCTGTATGTTCACTTCCGAATTTGGCGGTTTATTGCGGTATACTAATACAATACAGTGCGCCGATATCCAGTTCTCTTCCGATGTCACGTATCAGACACCATCTGCCTGTAGCAATAACACCAATCTCGCTGCCACCGCCTTCCCCGAGGCTTCTGCTGCACGTAATGCCAACGAGTCTACTGCTGAGGGTCAGGCACAGAGCGGATCCTCATCCTCATCCACTTCGACTTCGACTGCCTCTACTTCCACTTCCACCTCCACCTCCAATGGTGCTGCTGTACCGATGCAAACCGCCGCTTGGGGATTTATTGGTGCTGCTCTCGTTGGTGGTCTTGCTGTGCTGTAAAAGCTGATTATTTGGTTGCTTCTACTTTATTGTCTTTGGTCTCGGAGTTTAGCGGTGCATAATAAACAATGATGTCTTCTCTCACACGAGACGATCCTGTTGCGCTCACACGACTAATCACATCGCAGAATGTGACATGCACCCTTTTGTCACTTGCTGATACTCTAGCCATGTTTCGCGTAGAAGATTGGGGTAGTCTGAATATTGCGTTCTCATCGTTCTGCTGTCTTCTTTCCGACAGGATGAGCCTTACAATTAACCCTATGTTGCATCTGCTGACCTCTGCTGCTTCAAGACGAAACCGGCGGCCGATAACGTGACAGGGAATTCCCAGTCACCTATGCCGACAGCGCAGCGAAATTGAATGTCAAATTCTACGTTACATATAGAGAGTACATCAAGGACATTGACAATTTGAGATCAATGATCTCTGCAATCGCTATACCCTGACGAACAGGTCTACCCAGAAGATGGTAATCCCACGTGTCGTCCTAGTAATTATTCGCAAAGTATTTGGATGAGCAAACTCATAGTCTCGGTAAAATCCAGTATTCCTCATCGCCCTTGCATGGCAGTGGAAGGCAGATAGTATGAAGTGTCACGTGTGCGGGTAGATTGACATATCAGGCAACTAGGAAAATGGATCATCTCAAGACATGAGCATCCAACAAACGGAGAGAGTTGCTAGCATAGTCCAGGGCATAGTCCATGATGGAGAACCTTGAGATACTGCGTCCAGTTGGTGAGTAGATCCCGATCCCTGTCAAAAGCAGTCGGGAACCTTCTCCGAAAGTCAACAATGCCTGACCCCAGTAAGGTCGATTGGAACAATATTCAACGTCACGTCATCAGCTTATGTTTTACTTAAACGTTGCTGTATCAGCAAATTATTTCCTACCAGACTCGTTCGTGCTACCTGTCAAAGACTATGTCTATCAGGCATGCGAGGCCGCAATCGCGGAACATCCGTCGCTATCCGCCATTGTGGCGGACGAAGACACACGAGACCCCTATTTCGTACGGCTGCCAGAAATTGATCTTGACCAAGTTGTGTCTTTCCAGGACAGAAAACCAGGCTTGTTAAGTACCGAAGCTGATGGCGAGCCTACCCCGGATCTTGACCTGCAAACCTTGCTTGCGACCGAGCATAACACGCCTTTCAGGGCTCCAAATCCTTTCTGGAGAGTCTCTGTCCTTCTAGATATAGAAGATGAGCGGCAATTTACTGTGGCATTTGTATATCACCACGCCATTGGCGATGGAACATCCGGGAAAGCCTTCCATCGGACCTTCCTACGAGCCCTAGGCGTAACGGAGTCCTCGGACCAGACTATATCCATCGTCAAGTCTCCAAACCTCCCTCTTTTGCCAAATATCGAGGAAGTGCACCCAATGTCTTTTTCCTTACTCTATCTTGCGAAGAAAATAATCCAGGAAAAAGTATACTCCCGACGACCCACAGGTCTATGGACTGGCTCCAAGGTCCTACTCCCCACTCAAACCCGCCTGCGGCTCGTGCCATTCTCCAGACTCCTTGTCAAGGCAGTAAGAGACAGATGTCGACAAGAGAGTACGACAATCACCGCACTTCTGCAGACGATTGTCGCTCGCTCTATCTTCGCACACATCCCGCCTGAGTTCACGCGGCTCGCCTGCACCGGCGCGCTCTCGAGTCGGCGCTGGCTGCCAGATTTTATCACTGATGAATCAATGGGTGTCTGGGTCCAAGACTACGAAGAGACCTATTCCCGGGCGACAGTCGCACCGTCTGAAGGCTTCCCATGGGCAGAGGCTAGACGGTCTCGTAAGACGATTCAGTCTGTCCTGAAAATGAAAGGGAAAAATGCTAGCACGAGTCTGCTTCAGTTTGTCGATAATTTTCAGGAGGAATTGTGTTTGTCCAAGGTTGGCAAGGACCGTGATAAGAGCTTCGAGGTGTCGAATATCGGCGTTTTGGACCCGCAAACAAATCCTGACCTGCCTTCTATCAAGGGGATGGTTTTTTCCCAGTGTGCCAGTGTGATGGGTAATGCCATTGAGGTGTCGGCTGTTACTGGTGGGGATGGGTGTTTGGTGCTAGCTGTCTCTTGGCAGCAAGGGGTTGTGGAAGCTGATCTCATCAATGAAATCGTAGAATCGACCAAGCAGGACCTATATTCTCTTGACGTGGCGTGATCAATGGGGATAATTCTTGCTTGGGTATAGACTTTTTAATGTTTAATAGTGCATCCATAGACTTATCGGGAGCGCTCTTCGGATGCTGTTATCAGGTGGGCGGTGAGAGGGCGATAACATCGGCGGCAGAATCATAGGGAATCTACAGTCTGACCTTTCCCAACCTTCTTGTTAACATCTCATAACATATAACTATCAACTTTCAATATGACTCGTGGCCCCTACATTGTTCCGGCGCTCAAGAAGCACACTGCCACTGTCATCATGGCCCACGGGCTGGGAGATAGGTAAGTGTATCGCTGGAAGATAGTTAAACGCTAGTATCAAGTCTAACAGTGTTCGAATCTAGTGGTGCCGGATGGTATGAAAATGCCCATCAATCGCCTAGCCTAAGCCAATGATCGTCGCATCTGACCATGATTTTCTAATTTCTAATAGGATGTCCCTTGCCCAGACCTGGCGCCGCCGCGGCAAGTTCGACGAGGTGTCCTTCATCTTCCCCAATGCGCCCGACATCCCGATCACAGTTGTATGTGAACCTCATATTCATCATCAATTGAATATCAATTGACGAGATTTCAATTAGAACTTCGGCAGGCCCATGCCTGGGTGGTACGACATCTCGAAACTTGGCGGTGATGTGAGCCCTCCATGCCCAAAATTGTCGAATAAACTCATAGTCCTGACCATTATCTCCTTCTATCTAGTTGGAATTCGAAGAATTCCTTAAAAGCCAGGATGAACCAGGGATTATCCGCTCCCGCGACTACTTCAATAGCCTCATCGAGCAAGAGATGGAAAAGAATATCAAGGCTTCACGTATCATCCTGGGCGGGTTCTCCCAGGGAGGTGCGATGTCCGTGTTCACCGGTGTGACCAGCAAGGAAAAGCTCGGTGGTGTTTTCGGTCTATCATGCTACATGCTATTGAGCGACCGGATTAAGAACTACCTGCCCGAGGGGTGGCCCAACAAGAAGACGCCGTTTTTCCTTGCCCACGGCCTCGAGGATAACGTTGTCCCATTCGCATCTGGCAAGACTTCGGCAGCTAAACTCAAGGAACTCGGCCTAGAGAATGTTTCCTTCAGCCAATACGAGTATGTTTTGGTCGCTGTTGTTCTGGATTGTGATGGTCTGCTTACTTGATATTCCTACGTTACAGAGATCTTGGTCACTCGGCGACCCCCGAAGAAATCGATGATCTAGAGAAGTTCATTGAGAAAGCCCTCGCCACTGAAGGAGAGGGTAGTGCTTCTGCTGGCTTATGACTTAGTCATGATCAGAACGAGAACACCGAAATTGGTCTTTGGAGATATACCTTGATCATGGGTTTTGTGGTACTGCTTGCTGCTGTCATCTGGTCTAGATATCAGTTGTCAAAGCAGAAACAATCTATACAGACGCAGCATTAACAAACCGAGCCCAGATCCAGCTTTGAGATACATAATAGTGCAATTCAATACCGGTCTTGTAAGTGTGAGTGATAAAGTCGGGCCTCGCCTGCTTAGCGTAGGAACCTCGGAATATATATATCTCTATGTCCATATGATGTATTTCACCGACGCATTTACTCCTTATAGCTAGGGGATATTTACCGCCAGGTGGTATTAAATGTACATTTAAACTTAAGCTTGCTAATGCCAATGTAATTTATGATAGCGTGGTCAATCTACTACATGTGCGCAGTTATCCTAGCATCTGGTCGGTCGACCATAGACCTAGAAGAAATTCTAGATGGTATGTGGATATATGCAGCGTGATGCAGTAGAAGAGGTTTGCTTTTAGATTATAATATTGAAAAACTCTTCAGAAGTCGGTAGTTGTACATTGATATAAGCCTCAGATATCGAGGCTGCAGATGCAAGATGAGGGAAGAGTCGCAAACGTATCGTACAGCCAATAAAATCATGACATACGCCCAGGGATATCCAAGATTGCAGATAGTGCAGAAACTTCGGGCATTCGAAGCCTCGAGATTGGAAAGAACAATTGTGGGAGGAGAAAATGGAACACTGGCAGGAGAGGTGGAGGAGGTTCGGAGATGTAGATAGATCAAATTCTCTGTGCGGACACAGCATGATCACAGATCAATAGTCGAGGCGCAATGGTCTAGTCGGGGGATTATTTTTCACCCAGCATCTCCTTGCGCATCTCCTCCCGTTGTGTCCGCGTTTGTTCCTTCTCACGTGCGCGTTGTGCGTCTAGAGCTGCTTGCTTTTTATCTAATTCTTCCTGGGCGGCGTACCAGACTAGAAGAATTGGTCATAACCATTAGCCACGGATGCACTCCCAGGGCCGAGCGAACCCGATACCGCAGATATAATCATCTCCAGGGTAAATTGCGAGTACAAGACATACTAGACTTATCGGACTTGGACCACTCCTTCAGCTTAGTGACGTAGTCATCGAATTCCTGCGCCCGGCGGTCTCCCTGTTCGGCGCTGCGCTTCTGCAGATCCGGGTTGTATCGCTTTCTAAGCTCTTCGTCGGAGGGTCGGAGATATTCGACAAGAGCGGGGCCACCGACGACCATGAGGAGGCCACTACGGTGAGAACCGAATGTGAGCACAAGTTTTTGTGACGATGCAGGCGAGTATCACTTACCCAGCTATGGTCTTCGCCCATAATCCGGCGCGAGACATTGTGGTAAATCCGAAGCGCGGATGCTGATTACCGATTTGAGGCTTCGGTATGACGATGTGTTTCTCGGATGACTCGGGGAGATATAACTCGAGATGCTGAGACCGATGGATCATTAACATCATCGCGGCTCTCATTTGCTGTTAGAGGCGGCGTGGCGCAGCCGATGTGGCGCAGTAATACGCTTTGCCCGATCGAGCGTGCCACTTGTATCAATTTTTGTCGCTTGTTCCGTCATTCTTGAGGAAGTAGTCCGAGACAGGATGTGGAGTCTGTCATACATATGTATACTTACAAAGTCCATACTTCCGAGGTAGCGACATGTTATACGGAGTACAAGCTTGGGCAGTCCTCAGGGGTGCTGTGCTGCCCGATTGGTCTAGGGTTTAGTTTAACTTAGTCATCATGGTTTGACCTCGGGACCCCTGAGCAGCTGTAATCCCTACATAACTATGGCTAATATCACGGAGTACAAGTACAGTTACCAGGGAAGTACAACTGGATGCCAACAAGTCCCGTCGGGTTTGAAATTGAGATTGTGATGGGCTTGCAGGACGACATAGTGTGTAGGATCCCGGGCCCCAGCTTCACCCCTGATCGTCAGGCACCGAGTGGACTGAATTACATGTACTCCGTAACTTTCGAGCTTTACCTTCACATACAATGATGTACTGTATAACAGCTGTATACTGCATCGAAGCATCAAAGGCAGTGAGAATAATAAAAGGAATATGGGTCTATGACGATACTGCAGTTCTATATTCCCCACTTGCGTTAGTCCTCTAAACGGCCGCAAAGGAGATTGGATACTATAAAAAGGGAAAGTATAATAAAGCATGAAGAGCATGAAATGCATGAAAAGCATGGAAAATACGAAAAACAAAACAAAAAGTGTCTGGCGGTTGTGGGTCAAGCGATTTGTTTAATTTAAAGGGTCACCTGCGACCGCCCCTAAATCATTCTGCCCCCGCTTGCTTTACTCTTTACTTGAACTTCACTGAACTCACTTTGGAGTGTGGCTCCTGACCACCCTCAGGTGCTTGATCAGCTTGCGGCAGGCGCGTTGGTCATTCGACACTGCGGTTTGGCTTTGCGCGAGGTACCTAGGTAAGGATCAGTGTGGAGTCCCAAGGGTTGCCTTCTCAGGATATCCATGGATCGTGAAATGAATAAGCTAACTCCAAATTGCAGCCCTGGACCCCTGGAGTTTACCGAACTGTCTTCTCCTTGCATGCGACTGCCCACAAGATTTGCACGATCGTGAACGATCCTCGAAGACTACTCGAATCACCGTTGTATAGTACGCTTGTCGGCCTGCGCCATGTCATACCCCCAACAACATCAAGCGCAGAGGCCGCCTTTGCGACAATACAGCAATCCCCCTCCGCGTTCTGTGACATCGCCAGGAGGATATTCGCAAGATGGCTCCCACGGAGGATACAGCGACGGTGGCATGAGTAGCCATAGCTACCAGCAGACTGACCCCGGCTACGACGATGCGGCATACAGCTACCAGTCCACCTCCTCCGGTTCGCAATCATATGCTTCTATGAAATCTCAGCCACGCTCGATGCGACCGCCGGGACCACCAGGTCCGAGAAATGGACGACCGCCAGGCCCTGGATACGATGATCGGCGGGGCTATCCTCCTGGCGGAAGACCACCCCCGCAATCGCGGTCAAGAACACGTACGTAAATTCAGACAGGGACCCCAAAGCCCTACTAACCGACTATAAGCTGGCGCACGCCCACCCCCAGGCGGTACCTTCGATAATCCTTTCCCCTCCTTTCCAAGTCGAGACCCAAGAGATCCGAGGCCGCCTACAGACCCACGAGATCCTAGAGCACCTAGAGACCCAAGGGATCGGCGCGGTCCGCCACGAGGGCTAGAGAATGATATGGCTGCAATGGACATTAATGGCAGGGGTCCTCCTAGATCGCACACTGTGAATTCCGATGGAAGACGGCCAGATATGCGACAGCCACCTCCGCGCGGAGGTCCGCGCGGACCTCCACCAGGGCGGGGCCGAGGTGGCTATCCAATGGGTCCAGTGCGAGCTGCTAGTTCAGGCAGACCAGGTCGACCTGATAGAGACTATCCAGACTCCATGGGCCCGTCTATGCATCCGCCACCAAGAAGCGCAACGATGCCGCTCGCCCCAGGCGCACCACTCTACTCAGGCGCACCACTCTACCCAGGCCAGTCGACCTACCAAGAAACAGATTACCCAGCGAGCTCCATGAAGGAACCTCTTATGCGTCCTGATACTGCTGGGAGCATGCGACCCCCACGGTCTCGTGCCCCCAACGATATAGACCCAGGACTGATGATCCCCGCCACTACATTGATGATCCCCCCCGAGCCCGCCAATCGTGTTTCATATGCGCCCAAGGACTTTCTGGACAGCTATTATGAGTCTGGTGCTGGTGCTGCCGATGAACCCGATATGCCTAATTTCGATGCCATGCCCGACCCTCGTCATGCCCCGATTGATGAGATGGGTTTGGACATAACACCCGTCAAGAGACCGGTCCATGGACCGACTTCTTCCCTCGAAGAGTACTCATATACCCCCAACGGGTCGGAGGCTATGAAATCCCAATCTCAACCAAATTTTCAACAAGCAGACGGTGCCGGTGCCAATCAGTTTGAAAATGCGGGATTTCAGTTTGGTATTCCTGGAGAAGCTTCCCATGCTCCCGCTTTCGACCACCCAGGCTCTGCTGGGTATGTGTCGAACGGTTACGAAGATTACGCCGGTTACTCACATGGCTCTTCCCCTGTCCGATCCAACCAGCCAGGCTATTCCCACGACCAGGCTGAGATGTCAGATCCTCATCAGAATCCCGATACTCTTACTCACCACCCAGCGCCATTCCGCCCCGGTCACGATCAAGGATCCAAACCTGCGCCGGTTCGGCAGTACATCACTCCTGAATCTATCCCAGCCCTTGCTGCTCCACAGCCAATGATGCCTAGTGGAACGGTTCAGGCGCCTGTCACGATTGAAGAGATACAGCGGCTACAACAACAGGCGCGAGCCAATCCTTCTGATCAGAAGACTCAACTTCTACTCGTCAAAAAGCTAGTCGAGGCTTCGACGGTTCTGGTGGAGGACAACAGCAGACTGGATCCGAAAACCAAAGCCAAGGCCAAGGAGAAGTACGTGATGGATGCACATAAGATCCTCAAAAAGCTTGTTACAGCCGGGTATTCTGAAGCCCAGTTTTTCCTGGCTGACTGCCACGGTGAGGGTCTAATGGGGCTGGAAGTCGACCCCAAAGAAGCTTTCTCACTATATCACTCTGCTGCGAAGCAAGGCCACGCACAGTCTGCATATCGCGTGGCTGTATGCTGCGAGATCGGACAGGAAGAAGGTGGCGGCACCAAACGTGATCCATTCAAGGCCGTTCAATGGTACAAGCGCGCCGCTGCGCTTGGTGATACACCAGCCATGTACAAAATGGGAATGATTAATCTAAAGGGACTGCTGGGTCAAGCTCGGAATCCCCGGGAGGGTGTATCGTGGCTTAAGCGGGCCGCTGACCGTGCGGACGAGGAAAACCCGCACGCTCTCCACGAGCTTGCCCTCATGTATCAGAACGCTGGCGGGAATGATATCATCGTCCGCGACGAGCAGTATGCCTCCCAGCTATTCCATCATGCTGCCGAGCTGGGCTACAAGTTCTCTCAATTCAAGCTTGGTACTGCTTATGAGTACGGTCTGATGGGATGCCCTATTGACAACCGCACGAGTATCATCTGGTACACTCGTGCCGCGGCCCAGGGTGAACATCAGAGCGAACTCGCCCTTAGTGGTTGGTATCTTACCGGATCGGAGGGTATTCTATCGCAAAATGATACCGAGGCTTATCTGTGGGCCCGAAAGGCCGCCACCGCAGGTCTTGCCAAGGCAGAATATGCTATGGGATATTTCACCGAGGTCGGAATCGGCGCTGCTGCTAATCTAGATGACGCAAAGAGATGGTACTGGCGCGCAGCTGGTGAGTTGACCTCCCTTTGACTGTTTTTCGCTCTAGCCAACTAACCTTTTTTTCAGCCCAAGGATACCCCAAGGCCCGTGAGCGTCTTGAAGACCTTAAGAAGGGCGGAAGCCGAATGCAAAAGACTCGTCTCTCACGCTCAGCCGTTAACAAGCAGAGTGATGGGGACTGCGTTCTCATGTAATTGGATATCTTCGTCCTTCATGATTTGCCACGCTTGAAATATGGCTTGCATGTATGCATCTCTCTTCATGATCACCGGCGCTTGATGTATTCTACCCCGGTCCAGAACGCTTCTCTTCTACCCCATGGACTGCTGGATTACTTTATTTTCTTACTTGCTCATATCCTTTTTTTTTCCAATGTTCTTCCTTGTTTCGAATTGCTCTTCTTTTCTTTACCTTCTTTGGTCCCCCATTTTATTCTTATTTTTATTTTTTACGAATGGGATGTGCATGACTGGAATGGACACGGTGAAACCAATATCAACTGGCTGTAGCATTTGTATACATTAATAGATTGTTGAACGAATTTTCTTTTTAACGTACGATGTATACATATACGAAGAAGTCCCAATTCCCCTTGAGATACCCGTAAATCCGAGCCAAAGCTGCAGAGCGGATATATGGGTCGTCAACGGGTGAATTCCGCACTGACTGGATTTAATTTCCAATGCTTGGCCTTATGATCGGGCTCTCTGCGCTTCCAAAAGCATCTAATTAATCAGCTCTAGTTCCCTGGAATAAGTTGTCTTTCTTTTTGTCTGAACATTTCAATATAAATAGAAGCTGTTTGGTGATTTCTACAAGGTAGTACATTGCCAGCTCCATCCGAAACAAGCCATATATGTCTTCCGAAAGCCGACATAACGACTCGGAAACACGAACACCCCATTCATTCAGCGGACACAAAATCGCTCTTGTCACTCTTTTGACCGTTCTCACGGCTGTACTTATTGCTCTATTCTGGGAAGACACCGCCAATCTGTTCGGCTTCCGACGCCTCCTTGGATCCTGCGCGCGCTCAGCGGCAGTACCTCTATCTGCTTCAACTTCCATTGCAGCAGCTGCGACAGTGAAGGGAAACTCAGACGTAAAATCCAGCATGAAAACACCTATTTACTTCCTCAGCCATGGCGGGGTAAGTTATCTATATCCTGGTTCTTATCATGGACTAAAAGCTGATTTAATACCCACAGCCAAACGTCATGTACGAGACCGATCACCCGGCTTACCGTAAGCTCGGGGAGATTGGGCGCGAGATAACAACCAAGGTGAAGCCGAAGGCTGTCGTGGTATTCTCGGCGCATTGGCAGGCCGGTCGAAATACGATCCAGGTGAATACCGCCGAGAAGACTGATTTGATCTATGAGTATGTTTGATATCGAAATCATGGAAATTCCGAACTAACTGGATTTAGCTTCTATGGCTTCCCAGGTCATTACTATAAAGAGAAGTACCCAAATGTGGGTAGCAAGGAATTAGCAAATGAAGTCCTGAGATTGTTGAAAGAAGCCGATATCCCGGCCGAGGGCGTTGAGCGCGGACTCGACCACGGCATCTGGGCTAGCTTCAAGTGCGGTATGTGACAATTTGCATCAAAACGGAAACTAGACGCTGACGAGGACACTGCAGCCTTCGAGCCAGAAACAAACCCACTGAACGTTCCCATCGTGCAAGTCTCGCTCTTCAACACAGAAGACCCAGACCAGCACTACCGACTCGGACAGGCAGTCGCGAGTCTTCGCGAGCAGAATATCCTGATCATCGTGTCCGGGATGGCCGTGCATAACCTGCGCGATATGCGGTTTGCCTTTGGCAGTTCGACCCCGATGCCGTATGCGGTTAGCTTCGACGAGGCGCTTAAGGATGCCGTGACGACTGCGCCTGCTGAACGGCAGAAGGCCATGGCTGAGCTATTAAAGAGACCAGACGCACGCCAGGCTCATCCTTCCTTCGAGCATTTGCTGCCTATTCATATTGGGGCTGGTGCTGCGGCCGAGGACCTGGGGAAGAGGATCTGGACGTTCCCCGAGGGGAGTATGAGCTGGGCGCAGTATCGGTTTGGTGAGGTTGGCAATGTTAGTAGCGCGTTGTAAGAGATATCATCGAATCATCACCGGAAGTAATTAAATTGGATTTGTTTTGGATATGAGCTTCGATTTCATCTATAGGTACAGAAGATGGGCGTAGGACGGTGGGAACGCGGGGGGCATAAAATAGATCTGCAGAGAAACAAAAACAAGTTATAGCTCCTGCTTCACCAATTGTGTAATGCGCTCTTCGATCTGCGCGTCCGACAGGCCTAGAAACATCAATTAGCATTGCAACCTGATGCAAAATTATGGTTGGCGGGGGATATTTACCGGACAACCCTTCTTGCTTCTCCTTGCCGAAAGCTATTGAGAGGGGGGGCCATGTTAGCTTGATTCGCTTATCCAAAGAGCTCACACAATGGGCTTAGAGGTGTTCTGCCATACCATATCGGGCATAGACTCGCGGCTGGGTGCCAGCGGCCTCCCGGATCATGATGGGAGTCTGGGGGTTGTGCTTCTTCATAGTCGGGTAGGCGCGGTTCAAGAAAGACCTATAGGCACAAAAGAAGGTCAATCAGTGGGCTGGAACTCCAATCGGCTATGGATAGGGGTGTACGCACCTTGTGGCCGCGCTCGCTTCGGAGGTCTGGCAGAAGAGGAAGCGGAGCTCCTTGAGGCCTTGAGTGAAAACGTACTTGCCAGTCATAGTGGCAGGATGGTCAAGCATACGTAAGTATTAGGCAAATAGAGGTCTCGGATGAGCCACGGGGGAATGGACGTGGGAGTAGTGGGATTGATTTGCTGGACAGTCTGCGATGCAGTTCATTATTCACGACGGCGTTGATTCGTTGCGCAGCCATAATCCCGCTAGTCCCGATATCAACTAGCGCACCATGCTTACTCAGCTTCAACATCTACCGAGGCCTCATATCTAGCGACAGCGCAGGAGTGATGATAAGTAGGGGATAATTAATCGGAGTAGATGATAGGGATTACTTGAGAGTACTCCTTTTATCTTCTATAGACTATATTTTTATCTACCTGCGGGTGTGGTGCTTTAGTGCGCTATCTACCGCTCCCAACAGAAACACCGCCGCCGCCTTCACCGACGACCTTCCCGAGGTTCATCCCTCTTCTTTCTCCTCAGAACCACCATCTCAGCTATCAACATGTCTTCTCGCGTTGGTTTCCGCTTTGTAAACAACGCTCGTTTCGCGTTCCGCAATGCATCTGCGCCATTCCGTCGGCCAGGTGCTCAGGGCTTCCGCTGGCAGAGCTCCGAAGCCGGTGCTGCTGAGCATCAGAACGCCTTCCAGCGTCTATGGAACAGCCCTGTTGGTATGAAGACTGTCCACTTCTGGTAAGAATTCGAATCATGCTGCATTGCTTGTCTCTTTTGCTACTACGAATTGATGCTAACTTCCTGTTTCACAGGGCCCCGGTTATGAAGGTATGATAACTCGATTTCCTGGTCTGACACACCATCTATACCCCGAGCTACCCTTCCGGATACAACGTCTCTATCAGACTTCACCGTATATTGCGAGGATTCTCTCCGCGCCTGCTGAGTACGATGCCTAACATATTCTTCTCTAACAGTGGTGCCTGGTCATCGCGGGTATCTCCGACTTCGCTCGTCCCGCCGAGAAGCTCTCTCTCACCCAGAACGCTGCTCTGATGGGCACTGGTGCCATCTGGACTCGCTGGTGTATGATCATCAAGCCCCGTAACGTCCTGTATGTGGAACCCGATAGCAGACCCGCCGGCCATCAATGCTAACACGACATAACTTCATAGGCTCGCCGCTGTGAACTTCTTCCTTGGATGCGTGGGTGCCGTCCAAGTGACTCGTATTTTCTTGTGGCAGCGCAGCCAGTCTCACTCATCCCTCGAGGCCGCCAAGGTGATTGAGCATGAAGCTGTTGACTCCGTCAAGGCTACCGCCGAGGCGGCTGAGGGTGCCATCGAGTCGGCTGAGGGTGCCGTGAAGAAGGCTATTAAGAAGTCGACTTAGATAGGAAAAGAATTCTGTGAGGACGGCGGGGGGACTTGGAAGAGTGTTCCTGAATACATCTCAACCGGTATCTATAGCCACATTTTACCTGCGCCGAGGTGATCCTTCAGGAATCTTGAGGTCAAGCGAGCTTGCTTGCTTGGGTCGACCGCTGGCTCGTGTCCTCGAGAATTCAGTCCTCTAATTAAACAGCGTTGTACATATAAACCATGTTTCGAAATGTTTGGTTACTGTTCCTTCTGCGAGACATGGTCAAGAATTCCGAAGAAATTTACTAGCATTCGTCTTGTAATCCCAACTATCTTCTGTTTGGTAGTTACTATTCAGAAAACCATGGTGCTGACGGTATCTCGCTCCATTGCTTCGAAATATATTGGATCTAGGGACTTTACCCAATTTATCCGGGATTTTCCTCCCAACCGGAGAAACAGCGCCAAATATTCCTCCTATCAAACTTGCTTGGGGCTATGCTTACGCAATGCGAATCAATTTATCTCCTGTCTGATCTTTGACGAGACGGAAACTCACTATACAAGCCATTACCATACCCCGGTTTCTCCGCACATTGCGGAGTAGCTTGTTTCCCCGGAATAAATTGAAGGGGATGTGGTTACCCCATCGCATGACCGCAAAGGGGGATGCCTAGCTTTGACCCAGTTGAGCTAGATTGGGGTAATCGAGGAAATAAATTGTTAATGCGGAGAATATATAAGCTGTTCTGGAGGTGCTCGAGCCGAGAGGATTGTCAATCTAACTCAAAGAATCCTCTATATCCTCTTGACACCGACGATGAAGATTTCAAGTACTTTCAACCAGGCCTTGGGATTTTGTTTGCTAATTAGTGCCGCAGTTCAGGCCAAGGGATACTCTCGAAGCGAGGCGTGCCAACCGCACCATCCATTCAAGCCCCTTCCGGGCAGCCAGGCCAGAACTCGCACCTGTCATGTAGTCAATCATGGCCATGGACGCGACGATTCAGCCAATGTTCTTACCGCATTGAAGAAATGCAACAACGGGGGAAAGGTTGTCTTTGATGCTGACAAGACATACACGATTGGAAAGGCACTTGACATGACTTTCTTGAAGCATGTGGATCTCGGTATGTAATACGCGTTGGCGTCCAATATGAGACGCGTGAGTACTTACGCAAGCTGCCATAGAAATCCAAGGCCATATCCAATTCAGCAATGACACGGATTATTGGCAAGCCAACGCATTCAAGCAAGTCTACCAAAACGCCACCACGTTCTTCCAGCTCGGTGGTGAGGATGTCAATGTTTACGGTGAGGGTACTCTGGATGGTAACGGCCAGGTCTGGTATGACTTATATGCAGAGGATGCCCTCATCTTGCGGCCGATTCTGGTAGGTATAATTGGGCTAAATGGAGGTACCATTGGACCTCTCAACCTTCGTTATTCGCCTCAGTGGTATCACTTTGTGGCAAACTCATCCAACGTCCTTTTTGACGGAATTGATATCACTGGGTTCAGCAGCAGTGCGAATGTGGCTAAGAACACCGACGGATGGTAAGTCATCTGATCAAAAGAGGAACTAGCTTCATGTAACTAATACCTTACATAGGGACCTCTATCGGTCAACGAATATTGTTATCCAGAACTCCGTGATTAACAACGGAGATGGTAAGTTTCTTTTGGAAAATTGAAGCCGGTCTTCTTTTACTAACAGTATCCAAGATTGCGTCTCATTCAAGCCCAATGTTACCGACATTCTGGTCCAAAATCTTCATTGCAACGGCTCCCACGGTATCTCTGTTGGCTCCCTAGGCCAATACCCGGGCGAGATTGATATTGTGCAGAATGTGCTCGTCTACAATATCTCCATGTTCAACGCATCGGTAGGTTTAGTACTGGAGTGACATAATTGCGTCTCTAACAATCATGAAGGATGGTGCGCGTATCAAAGTCTGGCCTGGGACTCCCTCTGCGCTCTCTACCGATCTCCAGGGCGGCGGCGGATCGGGCCTGGTGAAGAACATTACCTACGACAGCATGACCATTGACAATGTCGACTATGCCATCGAAGTGACCCAATGCTACGGCCAGAAGAATTTGACACTCTGCAACGAGTTCCCCGTACGTGTCCATCAATCTTCTTTGTCCCTCTTTTCTTCATTCCGAATTGATATCGTCGCTATGGTTTGTTTCTGGTCGCCGAAGGCTAACACATACATCACACAGAGCAAGCTTGTTATTGAAGATGTTTTCTTCAAGAATTTTAATGGTGTCACCTCTGGGAAATATGACCCTTATGTGGGCACGATTGTCTGCTCAAGTCCCGATGTAAGTGCCTGAGCACCACCGGCTACAACTCCCCATCTGACTTGTACAGGTTTGCTCAAATATCAACGCCAGTGGCATTGACGTTGTTAGCCCCGATGGGAATGATCAGTTTACTTGCACAAACGTGGGTTCATGTTGAATATTGGTGCAACGCTGAAAACAGATTTACTGACTTATTCCTCTGGCTGTTTAGGTCGATGACAATTTGCTGGATTTGAACTGTGCTTCCTCTAGCTAGTGATGAGAAGTGTTGGTACATACTGCATGATAGAATGGATCTTGTGAGTGTTTCCGGGGTTTAAATCTACTCACATCCTGTACAAAGTACAGAGTAGCTACTTCATGGAAAACGTTCACTTCTTCCCGAGACCGGATTTGATGCCGGTTTACAATAGCCGAGCCTGCCTACTCCATACCCGCTCCATACATAGGCAGAGATAGATGGTACTGTTTCCCAATCATACCCTCACATTGGAATTTGCTATCAATCCAGAACTACAGCCAGCCACATAGTCTATAGACCCCACTATTATTACATCCCGTGTGCGCCTGGCGATGCATATGTATGCACACAATCTACTCTGGTTTCCACTCGATTACGTCGATATTCTTTTTAAATATCTCCCTTGCTTCTTTTTTTTTCTATGTGGGCTTTTCTACACCGCATTGCTGGAACTGAACTCTGTATTGTTCGGGATTCCTGCGCTGAGCCACTGCAGACATGTATTTAACCTAATGACACTCCCAAACAATATTTTCATACCCCATTTAGAACTTCTTTGCAAATCCGAGTGACAGCAGAAGAAATTTCTCATATTTGAAATCCAATACCTTTCCTCTCGGCCTTCCTTACATCAAGATCTATCATGCATCCGGATTCCCAACTCGAGACCGCCGTCAAAAACGGCTTTGACCCAAAGAGCCTCTACAGTACAGAGTTGACGAAGGTCAATGAGCCAGCGAGAACGATTCTCGAGCAATACAGCAAGATTCCAGCGGAGAAGGTTTTGCAACATGTGAAAGATTTGGTTTGTGGCTCAACCCCACACGTGAACGATAACATTTATTGACACTCAGTAGAAAGATCGTGCCTTTGAAGTTGTGAGATCTCCTCTAAGTCCATCTTTTCTGAGGTCAAAGGGTTGTTGGCTGATTTGCATACGTGTTAGTTCCCTTATGCCTGTATTGGACAAGCCTCATTCCTTGAGCTGAGCATCGCATCGTCCCCATGTTATCCTGAGATGCTTGACCGTGTCAAGAAGGGAGACAGACTACTTGACCTGGGATGTGCATTTGGACAGGAACTGCGACAATTGGTAAGTTGTGTCGAGCAAATGAATAACATCCGACGATTGCATCTTTCCCACCTTAACCAGAGCCGGCTAATCAGAATAATTCCGGAAATTCAGATCTATGACGGCGCCCCATCGCAAAATCTGTATGGAACGGACCTTCGTCCTGAGTTCCTTGAGCTTGGCCTTGACTTGTTCCTGGATCGCTCATTTATCAAGTCCCATTTCATCGATGCCGATGTCCTCGATGATAAATCTGCTCTCGTTACTCAGCTGACAGGCGAGCTCAACATTGTCTATATCTCCCTTTTCCTTCATGTCTTTGACTTTGAAACACAAATCAAGGTAGCCAAGAGGGTACTTGATTTGCTTGCCCCGAAGGCCGGTTCACTCATCGTGTGTCGGGTTGTGGCCTGTCGGGACCAAGCGATAGGGAACGCCACCAACGCGCGCCTGCCATATTATTACCATGACTTGGCTAGTTGGAACCGGCTGTGGGAGCGTGTGCAGGAAGAGACGGGACTAAAGCTAAAAGTCGACAACTGGGAACAGGATGATGCTTTGGCAAAGAAGCACCCTCTAGAGGGCATCTATATGCTGGGTTCATCGATTCGCCGGGAGTAGGGCTGCTCGTCTGTAGTACATCACAATGAAACATTTGCAAGTGGCTGTATTGTATACGTCGTAATTTGAATTGACGATCACGGCAGGGATGGCGAACTGAACGCTGGCAACGAGACAACCTGATTCTGATTTAAGCAGGACTAACTAAAGACAAGTATGTGACTATGCATCATATTTGTTCATTGTCATTTTATTTGAACAACAGGTAATACGCCGCCTTCACTAGTTACCTGTACATGCATGCATACGTACGGATAGATGTATTTATGTATCGAAGTTCCACTATTTTAAATACCAAGTACGTACGATACAATCAAAAAAGACGAGTTTATATGTATTATCCATGTAACGGTATGATAAGGATAGTGACAACATAAAGCCTGAACTTCGAAGGTTCTTCTTCTCTCTCCTGATATGTTATATCTTTACCCAAGAGTGATGCAATCATGGGATTCTTTTCTAGCACACAACCACCTCGACCTGCCACCGTGCCGAGCGATGAGATCATCCCTCTCCATTTCTGGAATACTGCTTTATGTATGCGCGGCACGGTTTTGGATATCTCGCTGAAATTTGATGATGTGTTGGATACATCAAAACTGCGCAGTGCGCTCGAGGAACTGCTCGAGATGAAAGATTGGAGACAGCTGGGTGCTCGATTGCGTATGAACGTGGGTGGTTTGAGACCGGCCTCCGATTTACACGCTTAATGCTGACCCGGAACGACCTGATAGCCAAATGGAAGACTTGAATATCATATTCCAACGCGTTTCGACGCCTCGCGGCCGGCTTTCGCCATGACCAATGCTCAGCACGAGACAAGCATTGCCGACCACCCCCTTGGCGCCAGAATACCACATGCAACCAGCACGCCTGCCATCTTTCCATCACCTGATGTGTTAAGCCCTTTATTACGCAGCGAAGACGCACCCAAAAATATTGATGACTGGATCTGTTCAGACCGGCCCCAACTATCTATACATATCATCACCTTCAGTGACGCCACACTAATTACTGTCACATGGCTACACACACTGACGGATGTTATGGGAATGGCATTAATTTTGAATGCGTGGACTGCTCTACTTCGAGGGAACAGAGAGGCGGTTCCCAAGCTACAAGGTTTCCGACTAGACCCGCTCACAGAACTCGGCCAGCGCACCCCAGCGGAAAAATACATGCATTTCAACCGTGTGTTTGGCCGCAAAGAGTTCTGGTGGTTTATCGGATTGAATGTTCTTGACAGACTGTGGTACCGCCAGGAGGAGCGGCGTACCATTTGTATTCCCGCCGCCAGTTTGCGGAACCTCTGCCAGCAATCATCCAGTGAGATCTGCGCTTCACGCGGGAAAGAAGAGCCAGTGCCCTTTGTGAGTGAAAGCGATGTGCTGTTGGGATGGTGGGTGCGGAGTCTTTACAGCGCGCTGGGGCTCAGGACGGACCAAACTATCCTAGTGAACAATGCGCTAAACCTGCGGACATCTTTGCATGAATCCTTTACGTCCAACAATAGTGCATACATGGGAAATGCACTGTGCATGTCGCCGACCTTTCTACGCGGCCATCAGGTTGCCGACGAGCCGTTAGGCCAAATTGCTCTCCGGATTCGAGAATCTGTAACGGAACAGCGAACCCCAGAGCAGGTCGAGGCGATGACAGCACTTCAAATGCAGACGATGGAACAGACAGGCTATCTGGCCTTGGTCGGCGATCCTCGGATGATGCTGCTATCTTGCTCCAACTGGCACAAGGCCCGTCTCTTTGACATAGACTTCTCGTCGGCCGTGTTACAAAGCTCGGGTCCGTCGAGCCTGCAGAACCCTCAACATACAGGAAAGCCATGCTATGTGAATGGAGTTCAGCACTCCGCAAATTCATTTCGCAACGTTCTTTCAGTTATAGGAAAGGATGCTGGCGGGAATTGGTGGTTAACCGGTGTTCTACGAACCGATGCATGGACGCATATCGAAAAACAATTGCACAAATTGGGGTCGAGCTAGGTTGTATTCAAAGTATCACAATTAATGAGCTATATTCATGTGATGTTTTTTTATATCGGTGTACGGTGACTTGAATTTAATCTCTTGGATTTGTATTTCCAAGGTTGCGATACTTGCCTTTCCTGTAAGAGTAATGTATTGGTTAAGCACATTATCCCGATATAAAATACAGAGCGTGAGATATGTTCTATACGGAGTACATAAATACACATACAACTAAAATACTCGAAAACCGAAACGAAATTGTTTTAGCGTGAGATCCCGTCTCGGGCCGCACGGGACGGACTAGACCCATAATCAAATACGGCTATACGGTATGTTATGTGTGTGTGCATACCTGAAATGTGATACAGCTATTTACATAGCAGGTGCAGTGACGATCCATTGATATGTAAAATAGTACGTTTAAAGTCCGTATCAACTCTAATTACATGACGACTTAGTAGACTTGTAGATCGGATCAGTCCTTGCATTAGCATGCGTTGGCATCGGATATCACCGAAAGTAGAACCATATCCTGCACCTGAAGACACACTCGTTCTCATTTTCGAAATTCTGTTGACAAAACTGCTCATCTGAGATCCTCTACACAAAGCACCAACAATGGAGGAATCGAGCCTGCTCTCAGCAATATTGGATCATAGAGATGCCTTGGCATCTGTCGCAGAATTTCTCCGAATTCTGGCTGGAATTTGCTGGACTTTAAACTACTTCAGCATGTTGCGCACGTCGCGAAAAGACAAGATTCCCAGCACAGGTATCTTTCCTCTCTGCAATGACATTGGGTGGGAATTCATATATGCCTTTATCTACCCAACCGCGAGCGCTCATTGGGAAGGAGGAGTCCGAGTCTGGTTTTTGGTTCATTGCATCGTCATCATCTTCATCATCAAATATGCGCACAATGAGTGGGACCACTTTCCCCTCATTCAACGGAACCTTTACTTCCTATATGGAGTAGTGACTATTGGCTTCGCCATCGGCCAATATTCGTTTGCGCGAGAGGTTGGGCCTGACTTGGGATTTTTCTACGGGGGTGTGCTGTGTCAAACGCTGGCAAGCCTGGGGCCAATTGCTCAGATTCTTTCTCGGAATAGTACCCGCGGTGCTTCCCTATTGACTTGGTAAGTTCAAAGCTAGATCAGCTGTTTGCATTCGTCATTGACATGATAAAAGGCTATTGAGAGCGATTGCTACTTTTGGTGGATTCATTAAGTTGACTATCTATTACCTCACTGGAAATGCTGCAGGACCTTGGTTTGAAAGCCCAATGTGCAAGTTCTATATCGGGTTGACCTTGGTTCTTGATTTCACCTATCCGATCTGTTACTATGTCATTCAGCGTCAGGAGTTGGCCAATGCTCAGAAGGAGAAAAAGGAGAAGAGCAAATAGGAAAAGCCATCATGAAGCATGATAGCTGGATGACAAGTTGTTCTGTGAGGAGTACGGTATAATGCTAGGTGGTTCGGCAAGGATGAAAGTTGGGTTGCGTTCAAAAGTCTTACATCTCCGGTCTATGTATTTAGCATGAAATCACATATTTACGAAGCTCAAGAAGTGTCACAATACATCAATAAAATCCTATAAAAAAAAACAAGTATCTGCAAGGAGCGAGGATTGCGCGCATTGGAACATTTTATAGATAAAAAAGGGACGAACCCAAAAAGGAAAAAGGAAATAGGAAAACCGCACATAGCAAGGCATATTGATCATCAAGGGGGAAAGCCAACAATAACTTGCATTGTACCTATCAAGTGAAGCGGTACACGTCCCTGTTTCGTAACTTCATTTATCTCCGACATTCTTCACCGCCAACAACATCATTATATGTAGCACTAGAAAGATTTGTCTTTTTCTAAATGCAGACATGGAGGAAGGCATGGAAGCTCCCAAGTTCAAAGTCATCATTGTTGGGGGGTCTATCGCTGGGTTGACATTAGCCCATTCTTTGTCCCAAGCCAATATCGACCACGTCGTTCTCGAAAAGAGAGCTAGCATTGCTCCCCAGGAAGGTGCCTTTATTGGAGTCTGGCCTAATGGAGCACAGATACTCGATCAACTTGGTCTCTACCACAGTCTGGAAAAGCTCACTGCACCACTAAGTCGCATGCATCTTTCCTTCCCCGACGGATACTCATTTAGCAGTCTCCTGCCAAAGACAATTCATGAAATGTTGCTTCCCAATGTCTCTGAAACCCAGATATCAAACAAATTCTGACTACTCAAACGTAGATTTAAGTACCCCATCGTCTCACTCGACCGGCAAAAGGTTCTTGAAATATTATTTCAGAACTATCCAAACAAGGAAAAAATCATTACCAACCAGAGAGTATCCGAAGTGCGGTTATTGGGCGACAGTGCCAGTGTGGTAACAGAGGATGGAAGTGTATTCCAAGGAGACCTGATTGTCGGCGCGGATGGTGTCCACAGCCGTATACGCTCTGAAATGTGGCGACTGGCAGATGAACTACACCCAGGAATGATCACACCCCAAGAAAGGCAAAGTAGGCAACATCGTCCTCTTCGGAAATTGATTACTTTGGAGACTTCAACTGACTCCTGAATTTCTTCCCGTTAGCTCTTACGGTTGAATACGCATGTGTGTTCGGAATATCACGAGCAATACCCGGACTCCGAAGCGGAGAGCATATAAACCATTACGGCGACAAATTCTGTGTGATTACCTTCCACGGAAAGGATGGTCGTGTGTTTTGGTTCATTATCCAAAAATTGGACCGCGTTTACACCTATCCTAACGCTCCTCGGTATTCTCCTAATGATGCAGCGGAGCTGTGTGACAAGATTCAAGACGTGATCATATGGCGGGATATCACCGTAGGGGACCTCTGGAAGACCAAGCTGGTATCGTCAATGACGGCACTCGAGGAGGGGCTTTTTGAAACGTGGAGCTTGAATCGAATAGTCATCCTTGGGGATAGCGTACACAAGGTGAGATCTGCCAGCTATCCTGGATGAACTGGATTTCCAATGATCTAACAATGTTTCCTCTTCGCCAGATGACACCCAATATCGGACAAGGCGCAAACACAGCTATTGAAGATGTTGCCGTCCTTGCATCTCTGATAAATCGGGTAGTTCACGCAGATGCCTTGCACAAACCATCAGAAAGCTGCATCGAGACAATGCTCCAAAAATACAAGACTCTCCGATACGAACGTGCGAAAAGCACATACGAACGCTCGAGATTTGGCGCTCGATTCCATACTCGAGACAACTGGCTTAAGGCTCTGGTGGGCCGATATGTGTTCCAATACGTTGGTGGCCTCATAGAGAACCGGACATCCAAGACTCTGGCAGGGGGGAACGTTATTGATTTTCTTCCGCGGCCGCACAGGCTTGAGACTGGGTGTGTGACACGTCTTCCCAAAGGCCAAGGAAGGCCTCAGCAGCAGTGGACGCTACTCTGGGTTTCCTCTCTGGTCTTATTCTTGTTTTTACCTTGGCTTAGATCATATCTGCCTTCGGCCACCTTCTGGTGAATACTTCTCAGCAGAAAACATTTTTGCAGATCTTTGTGAAGGAACTTGTGTATTTGTGTTTCATATGTGACAGTGTCAGTACAAAGATAATTCAAGTATCGGGTGTCGATCATCAACCCGATGAGATTATTCGCTTTCGAATTATTCTAAAAATACTAGTGGGCCTGACTAGTATCATTATCATAAATTGATCGACGAAGGCAAAGGCGCAAGGCAGGCTAGCTGAACACCACATAATTACACAAGGGGGTGTGCATATAAATCTAGTTTTATAAATATAGTATGGAATAATCGAGCTAATGCAGTAGATCCATGCATCTGTAACCAGCCAACAAAAGCTCGCTCAAATGGAATAAGAATTAGCTGGCCATGCAATCAGTGGAGCCAAAGAGGGCCCAAGGAATGATCTCGATGGCGAAAGGGATGCTCTTGTTGTTAGACTTTTACAGATGTGTCCTTGAATACTTTCCACTTCGATTTGACTTATCTGATACCTGAAGTGACCTTTACCGATATAATTCATAAACTTCTTTCTCTACTGTCCCCTTTATCATTTAATATTTGGCTGTCGATACGCCTTCACTACATATCTACACCATTGTTGCCTCTGCATTTCGCCCATTTCGCACAGTGGTTCAGTATTCGCTGAAGTCCTCATCCCCGAATTCCATTTTCATATGCCACGATGACACGAGGGAATGAAAAAGAAGAAGCCCCACCACAGGCCAAAATCCTTGGCTCGTTTCCCACTGGAATAGCACCCTATGCCGAGTTGATGCGTGTTCATCGACTGTTGGGCTTTTACCTGAATACATCCCCTTATCTTGTGGGTGTTGCCTTTTGCGCATCCATCTCACCCACAAAGATACCAATCACTGTTCTCTTGCACCGCACCATACTTCTATCCATCTGGTCTATTTTCCTTCGAAGTGCTGGGTGTGTTTGGGATGATCTTATCGATATGGACTTGGATAGCCAGATATCTCGAACCAGAACCCGACCACTGCCACGAGGCGCAGTATCCCCGAAGAACGCTTTCCTTCTCACTGTGACTCTCTTCGCCTGTGGGGGCAGTGTTTTGATATATCTTCCATGGCCCTGCGCCGTGGATTGCCTTATAATCACATTTTTTGCATTATTGTACCCCTTCGGCAAGCGATTCACCGACTATCCCCAGATCACTTTGGTGAACATCGGATGGGCCATTCCGATGGCAATGCACAGTCTCGGATTAGATCCTCTATCCCAGATGAAACCAACTGTGTGCATGTTCCTGTTTATTGGATTGGTCATCATCATGATTGATGTAATTTATTCGCGCCAGGATACGGAGGAGGACTTGAAGGTCGGCGTGAAGAGCATGGCGGTCCGTTTCAGGGAGTCCATCGAGCTCCTGTCATATTCTCTCCTTTATGCATCCACCGGATTCCTCGCGATGGCAGGATTCTTCACTGGACTTGGCCTGTCATTTTTCGTGGTGTCTGTCGGCGGTCATTTCTGCGGGTTCTGGGTTCTCCTTAAAGCGACTCGGGTAGGGAACTCGTATGGAGTTGAATCCTACGCCAAGTCCGCTTTCTTCCTTGCTACTTTGTTTTGGTTGTTTGGATTTGTGATTGAATATTGTCTGCGTAACTAGATGACTTTGATGGTTCTCTACTTGCGAAGGTAACGGGGAGACGACAGTTTATCCAACGTGTGTGCCATTGTTCACCTAACTGGTGGCCCACCCCAAGTCACGTGACTGATGGCCTATCTTATCTCCACCGGTTGGGTCAACTTCTGTAATTTGGTTTTAAGCCTCACCAATACCTCACCAATACCAACTTTCCACCAGTCATTTCTCGTCAACACCTCTCATTAACCATCCAGTGGAATCAGGAAGGGATAACACCTTAATGAAACGCTAATAGTATATTATTCTATGCATCCATAGAATATGTAGTACAGTATATCTGTCTAATAACGCCTTAAAAAGATCTAAATGTAATTAAGCCTCCGGTATTTATGATGCGTATTCTCAAGACCATTAAGTAATCACTGATAAGCAACCTTGGAAGTTCAACCAACCGGTGGAGATTTCACGTGACTCAGGTGGGTTAGGTGAACAATGGCACACAGATTGGATCAAGAACTCGAGACTTAATACCTGACTAGCGCTATACACTTTCGCAGTCTTCATATATATCGAGAAGTAAATTTTCAATTGAATTTTATTAAGATTTCAAGCCCAACGTTTGGTTCATTCAGCTTTCCTCCCGTTACCGAATCCAAAATTCAAAACGAATCTCCAGTTAGATCACAGACCAGGCGTTGTCGATGGGAATGATTGCCCCGTTAATTCTCTTGCTCTGACTAGAGATCAGGAATAGAAGACAGTCGGCAATATCCTCAGCCTCAACCCCCAGTCCTTTCTGCCTATCAGCAGCATGTGCCTGGTGAATTAGAGACATTGTTCCTAGTGCATCCTTGTCCCAAGTGCTTGGGTCAGAGGCCTGTACTATACCGGTTGGAACTCCTAGTGTAAATCATAAGCTTCTAACACAAATTTGATCTTAATAGCATATGTTGGTCCACGTACCCCCGGGACAAACGGCATTGCAGCGAATTCCCTCTTGTTTGTACCTCCATGCAACATTTTTGGTTGCGCCCATCAGCCCATGTTTACCTGGAAAGTAGGTCTGTCACTATGCTGATGCATACCTCGATTCATATGGATATACTCACTAGCTGTGTAAGCAACGCCGGACGAAGCACCACTCGTAGCTGCCTTGCTGCCGACGTTGACAATACTACCACTCTGTTGCTGTCGCATAATAGGAATAACCTCACGCATGAGCTTCACTGGAGCTGTCAAATTGACTGCAATGCATCGTTCCCACATATAATCTGAGAGACTATCAACGCTGGAATTCTGGTCCATGATACCAGCAATGTTGAGCAGACCATCGATTCGTCCACCAAACTCTTTGATACAGGTCTCTACCACCTGCCTTGGTGTCGTCTCATGGGTGAGATCACCTTGCATGAATTTGTAATTTGGATGTTCATTGAGTGAGACAGGTGCTGATGAGACATCAACACCTAGAATTCTCGCCCCTTGGCTTAGAGCTGCTGTGGCTGTTGCCAGTCCAATTCCAGAGGCGCTACCGGTGATTATCACAACCTAGAACGCAATTAGTAAGAAATTTGGACGATGAGAGATGTTAGCAGCTGGGGCATTACAATGTCTTGAAGCAGCGACATAACTTTGGTATAATGAGCAACAGAAGAAAAAGAGAAATGACAGTCCAATTCGATTGGGAGGTAAAAGTAGACCCTGGAAACAGTCTTTGAGTGCAGTCTCTAGGTTTACACCCACTAACCTTTGCAGTACCTTATCCAGGCCGTGTCTTCAAATTATTTCTTGGCCCCGCATATGACAGAGAAATCTATGATCATCACGTGTATCCTGAACATCATTCACAGACTGACTAGAAATGTGACTATACGAGGCAAGGGGACCAGATGCAACACGCCTCTATAACTCTATGTTATGGTGCTTATCTTGCATGCAATAAAGCCACCTTCTGCAACATGCGGAGCAGTGGAGCTCTTTGTGTCGATCTCAAGATCAACAAGGAAAAAGCAATACACATTGTGACACACCAAAAGAACAAAGTTACTCAGCTCAGCCACATGATTTAAGGACTGCGCGTTAATGCACGTTGGACTGCAGAGCTCCAAAAATTAGCTCAGTTGATAGATCGTGTTTTGGCCTCGGCCCCTGTGGGAGGTATTCTGGGCCCTAATTACTAGTCGTAATAATACGGCAAAGACCGCATTGTATATTTGGTCAACTATCTATCTGACCGCTGTTTTCGATCGTGGGAGTCTTTGTGGCACAGTTGAAGGTGGCATGAGCAATTTACTACGAGTTTCAAGCAAATCCCAGTATCCGAGAAAGCTTCTTGAACAACAGAATGACGCAGGCTCAGAACTATGTCATTCCACCAGGCTCTAAAGTCCTCGTTACTGGAGCGAATGGCTACATTGCCTCGCACATCGTCAAGGCTCTATTAGATCTTGGTTATCTGGTTCGAGGCACGGTACGCACGCCTATGCCATGGCTGGCGGAGTATTTCGAGAGACAGTGCGGTTTAGGACGTTTCGAACTCATTGTTGTTTCGGACTTTCAGCAGCCCGATGCTTTTGATGAGAGCGTGAAGGGTGTATCGGGAGTCATTCATGTTGTATGTTTCTTTGGTACTAGTGGTTCTGACAACAATATGTGTTAACCAAATAGATGTCTAGGCTCAAGGCTTACCTTCTAGCACTGCTGCAGAAACCGTGAAAAGCGCAACAGCTTATACTGTGAATGGAGTCATCAATCTTTTCAAGGCTGCATCTACACAACGCACAATTCAGCGAGTTGTCCTCACTTCTTCTATCGTAGCGGCAGGCTACCCTACCGGAAAAGGGTTCAAGTTAGATGCTGGTAAGGCAACTGTCAATAGATAACAAACCTAGGCTGACAGAATCTATATAGATTCATGGGATGAAAGCCTCGAACAGGCATCTAAAGATGGAACCACTGTACCCATCTATCGAGCATGTAAGATCGAAGGAGAGAGACAAGCGTGGAAATGGGTTGAGAAGAACCAACCACACTTTGAGCTCAATTCCGTTCTTCCATGGCTTACAGTGAGTCTTATCGAGAATCATATGTTTATATACGACGTCAAAAGTTGAACTAACCACGGATTCTTTCGAAGTTGGGCAAAATTCTTCATCCGAACATCGGTGGTTCAACCATGGGATATGTCTCTGGACTACTCAGAGGAGATACCACGCCATTCAAATTCCTTCCACTGCGTTAGTATTCCAAATCAAATTGACAGACCTATTATTGACTAAAGTACTTTGCTAGCTTGGTTTGTGGATGTGGAAGACACTGCTCGTCTCCACGCCATAGCTCTGCTCAATCCTAGCGTGCGCTCCGAGCGACTCTTCGCTACTGCAGCTCCATTCACATGGGGGGATGTCATTGAAATTCTCAAAAGAATCCAACCCAATAATGCTCGTATTCCAGCTGCTCCTATACAAGAGGAACCGACGCTCGGAGATGTCGTCCCAGCAGCAAGAGCCGAGAAATTGCTTCGTGAGACTTTTGGACAGCTTGGCTGGACCCCACTGGAAGTCAGCCTAGAGAGCGGTATCGCAAGAGAGTAACCGATGAGGTCCGGTGGTTGAAGATGATATGGTCGGACTAATCGAGTACAATGGTAGATTATTGTGATGTTGTGACAGTTCATATCTCGATTGAAATTCAAAACGAAGGGTTACTAGATCAAAAATACCATGCCCATTAGGGGATCTTTCCCTCTGACTTCAAGACTTGCGTTAAAAGATCGGGGAGGGCTACAGCGATCCCCGGCTACTGTAGATCGACCCCTCTCTGCCTGAAATTTCAGTTTCACCTTCCTAATTGGGCACATTTTCTGCCTCGACACCTGCCCACACCGCCTTCTGGCCTTGACTCCCCATATAATAGTAGCAAGACAGCAGATACCTACAAGTTATATGTAAACCAATAGCAAAATTTCATCAGCCGCTTTACCGTCAAGGGATGAAATCCTATAGTAATCAGGTAGAATATACGAATTTTTCTGATCAAAATACATGTTTTTTACTATGTAAACCAGAATGCATGTAGTGGTGGCAGAATATATGGGGGACGCCGCTGTGGTCAAAATATATACCATAAGTGATACCTGTATGAACATGATCATAGGAAGAGGACTGATACTAAAGCTAGATTGATACAGAAAGACATTGTAAGAGCATCCGAAAGGTTCATTCTTATATTAATGTGATGATTATCACCAGGTAGAATTAAGATACAATTAAACATCGAGAGTGCCGATCGACTAATATCGAACATGATCACGCAAAAACTCATAACCATCTTCAACAGCCCGAGAAGCTGCCTGGTCTTTTTCAAAACCAGGATAAATGTCAAACAGGTGTACTGCCTTATCCACAACTCGGAGTTGTACCTCAACGCCCTTCGTAACCAGCTCCTGTGATGTCCTTTGGGCCTGTTCCACTGGAATGAGATCATCAAGGGTTCCGTGTATGATGAAAGTGGGCGTCTTGTAATGCCCATTGCGAATCTGTGCCAGAGGGCTCACTGCTTGGATTTCCTCAAGTGTCGGAACGGGCAACTCCTCTCCACAGTCGCCATCTTTATGATCCGACCAGAAGCGGCCGCCGTGAAGCAACATAGGCAGGCTTTGTCCTTTCCAGTTCATGTGCAACGCAATTCGGCTGCGAGGATCCGCCGGTGACATCCAGCCTCCAAGGGCCTTTTGGTCGACCGGAGGATTGTAGGCAGTGATTGGCGTCTCATATATGCCTTCCCACAGGTCGTATCGCATTTCTGGCGAGGCGGCATTCTTTCCGTAAGGGAAATTGGGCTGGGACCAAAAAGAGTCTTCATAGTCTGTTGGGCCGTAGAATGCGAGGATAGCGTTAGGCGGGGCTATGCCCCTCTGCTGAGAAGTCCAAGCCAATGTCATGGCCAGATGGGCACCAGTAGACCAGCCAACCGCTACCGCTTGAGTTCCGTCTGGTTGGATATCAGGACGACCAAGAGTTAAACTGGGCAGGACATGGCGAGCCCAACAAAGAGCATCGCATACATCATGCATTGGGCCTTCGGTCAGGGAAACCTCTGGGCAGAGTCGGTAATCAACACTGACTGGCAAGAATCCCGCATTCAAGAGCATTCTGACTTGCTTGCTGCGGATGTCCCGGCGCGAGAGCATAATATGCCCGCCGCCATGGATAAGAAGAGCTGTTTGTCGAGTGTAAGAAGGAGGGTTGTCACGGTTCGAGGAAAGAGGACTGGGAACAAGTTCGTCTACATACCAATTGGACGGGGTTTTCCAATAGGCTGAAGATCCCGAGGATAGTAAATGTCTGCAGAGAGCTCCACGCCATCGTTCTTGCCGTACACAATAGTCTCTTCGTTCATGAGATATAAGGGGCTCCTGGGGGACGGGGGTAAAATGACAGCCGAGGTTGGTGACGCAGTGATCACCCGAAGCACATTGGATTCTTGGGAGTCATTGTATGTCCAGTCCACCCATTGGAAACCCGATTGGGAAAGAGTTTGTTTCCACACGTGTTCGGTCGCAAGGGCGTGTTGCCGACCATCCTCAAAGAGCCACCAGCCCTCCAGCAGACCGAAGACAAGATCAAACCAGAATAAGTTGCGTGTGAGCTCGATTAGGCAAAGAAGCCCGTCTGGCCGTAGAAGCTTGTTGATATTGGAACACGATTGAACGAGACTGCGGGTTGCGTGCACACAGTTGCTGGATAGGACGATATCATATTGACCGAGCATGTCTGGGGTAGGAGCCCGTTCAATGTTGAGGACTTGGTATTTCATGAAGCTGTAATGCTTGAACTTCTTGCGTGCCAGAGTCAGGAGCCCCGAGGATAGGTCCGTGAATGTGTATTGGAAACGAAGACCAGGAACGGCAGTCAGCTGACTTAACAAAGCTTTGGTTGTGCCCCCAGTGCCACCTCCAATCTCGAGAATCTTAATTTCTCTGGTGGTATCCACGCGGCCAAGGAGGTTGACAAGATATTGGGCTAGGTGGTTAGTTGCAGCCTTGAACATTGGAGCGTTCGTGTATACATCCTCCATCAGTCGACGAGCCTCTGCATCTTGAAAGAGAAGAGAAAGTGGGTCGGCGGCTCCGCTTAAGCAGTCACTGAGTCGCGAGCCCGTTGTCCTCAGCAGATTGTGTTCAGATGTATGCTGGGGATAGAGGCGAATAATTTCCTCGTGCAATACATCGGACGAAATGGTGGATACGGGAACCGAAGTTCGCACAAAGCCATGGTCAGTAGCCCGGATGAGATTGGAAAACTGCAAGATGGAATAAAGCTGGCTTCGAACCTTGCTATGCTGTTGAAGAACCGGCACCTGTGGGATAAGATGCTCAGCCTCAAAGCTCTCCAGGGAGACACCGAGGGATTTGAAAGCCTCTACCACATAAGCTGTGACAAGGGCCATCTGTCTGGGATATACGGATTCACAAAACCCGTCCCATTGGGTAGATTGACTGTGCACCATACTTCTCTGAATATCAGTGAAAAGGCCGGGTGCAATGTCAATGAGGCCATGTATTTCTTCATCGGAAATTGGGGTTGGGATAACATGGGTATTCCTCTCCGAGTCAACTGCTTCTGTAGTCTCGATTTGCAATGACGGGTGAACTCCATTTGTGAGAGGAGCAGTTGCGGCATCGGGGAAAATTGTCTGCACCAGCGTTAGGATATCGGGGATCTCAACGAAGGAGGAAGTGTCAATGGTGAAATTGAATCTCTTCTTTATCTCCACCAAAACCTCAGTTCGCATCAACGAATCAACACCAATGTCTTCGAGATTCGATGATGGCAACAACTCATCGGAGGCAATTCCTAATAGATCACAGAGCATCTCCTGGACGACCATAAAGTGTCCACTATCCGGGGCAGAGTGGAGAGGAGCCGGAACAGCGGCTAGTGCATTCTGAGGGGTAGGATTGAGTGCAACCTTGGAGTCATCGCGAAGAGACTGGCCTAGAGGCACTTTTTTGTCGTCGGGTTGATTGTTCAATTTCTTGAGTACCCGGGAAAGACCGGCGATGGAGACACTGGTAAATGTTGCCGAAAGAATGGTGACAGCAAGTTTATCGGTCTCCCGATCTAGGACAAACGTATCACAAGTGATCTTATTCTTGATAGATCGGTCCACGTTAGAGTATACAGCCCACGAACGCGAGCAATTGGGATCCCGGGTCATGAAAGCCTCTCCAATCAATATTTCCCCAACCCCAGTGCAAACAAAAACCTCATCTTCTTTTGTCTCCGAAAGACAGTTGACGTGGATTCCAGCGACTTGAATGAAATTGTCGACGAGCATTGGATCACATGACGCGTCCTTTGTCCGGGACGAGGGGAGGTTCACGATTCCAGCGGCCTCATGATCAGTCGCGAACACTTGTTCAACGCCACGATAATAATCAGCGTAATTGACAACTCTGCGGAAGGCTTGATATACGGCGAATCCTTTAAGACCGCTCGACTCTCGTGAATTGGCGATGGAGTCCACTCGAGAAGAATCAATCAATCGGTTCATGGAGTGAAGTCGAACGAAGAGAGGTGTATTCTGGCCGAAGGGGTGCAAGCTGATCTCACCGGTTGCATGTGTGGTGACTTTATTCTTGTTGGGCTCACGAGTGAAGAGGGAGAATGACCATGGGGAGTCACCCACCCGGGCGCGAGTAAGACTCAACATAACATTTCCCCTAGGGTTGAGCACAAGCGGAGCCGAAATGGAAAGGTCTTTCAGGTGAGGCATGGCTGGTGATATATCGTTTTCTGGGCGAATCAGTCCCGCCGCTCGAACAATAATCTCAAAGTAGAGAGAGGCAGGGCAGAGGTTTTGATCAAGTACTGCATGGCCTTGTGTACACTCCTGATAAAGAGGGTCATTCGTATTAATGGCAAACACACACTCGGTCGGCTGCTTTGTGAGCAGCTGCACAAACTCTTTCGGGGCATCAGAAGAAGGCACAGTTGGCTTGACTTCAGGCAACGACGCGAAGGCATTTGGGTCGTATCCAATCCAGTGACGTGTTTGAGCAAACTGGTAAGGTGGGAGGTTGATCCAGTTGTAGCTCTTGGCTTGGGAATCGTGGAACTGCCAGAACTGTACCTTCACACCTCTAGACCAAAGGTTGCACGTAGCCTGTGAAAGGCTTCTGTGGGCCAGTGCGCCTCCCAAGTCGAGCGCCTGGTAGACATGCCCATTTGAAAAGGCTGCCACTGTATCGATAACTCGTCGTACCAACGGGATGATGGGAGATGCGGATCCCGCCTCCAGCCAGATAGCAGGGCCTTGAATCCTCTGGGCCACCCGCTCAACGGCTGTCTGGAAGTCAACTCGTCTGCGGCTGTGATCCACAATCTTGCCTGGGGTAACATAAGTCCAGTCATCATACTGAGAACAAGCCTCAATAGGGATAGACAATGGCTTGTATTGAAGCTGCTGGGCTACCTTGGTCAGGGGAGGAACAATGTTATCGACCAGGCGGGAATGGAAAGCATGTGTGTTCTTCAATCTCTTTGTGCGAAGGATGGAGGGGGCTTTCGCCGACAGTTTCTCAATCATT